ACCCGGCGATCATCGCAGCGGCATCGACGAGCACCTCGGGATAGAGAGCGGCAGGGTTAGCAATCGTTTTAAGTGTCCCAGCGTGGCACGAGCGGTCTAAGGGGTCGGATAGAGCAGGGTGGGGAAGAAGGCTTAAAGTCAGCACCCTCGTAATGGAAATTGGGGAATTCCCGAACGTACGACGAAAACGGCTGCTTGTATCGACCGAGTCCTCATCCGCGGAACGGGCAAATACAGGCTGCCGGCGAAGAGGGGGTGGCTGCAGGGGTGGCAGAGGGGCGATAGAGGGGGTGAACAGAGGTTTAAGGGTGGACGTACGTTGCCTGGCAACCCACCCCTTCTCGCAGCATCCCCCTGGACCGCCTAGGCTCCAGCCACGATGCCACGTTACCAATACCAACGGCCGATGCTGCTTCCACCTTCTACCGACGCGGCTCCCGGAGCTCCAGTTCTCTACCCCGCGTTTCTACCCCGTTCTCGGAAACGGTTCTCTTCCTTCTTTCTGCACACCGTCCAACACTCCACGCAGCTTCCTCCATTATTCAGGCCCGATGCTCAACCACTGTCCCTTTTCGTCGGTTTCCACCCCCGTCCACCTGCCGTCTGGCATCCGCTTCCTCCCCGCCTCTTTTCCCTTCTTTTCCTTTTTTATTTCCAGCTTCCCATCCGGCCGTGGACTTGGCGCGGGATCTCCCGGGGATAATGGACGTCTCGATGCGCGAATTAAAATTAGAGGACTCGGAATTAGCGGAACGTACGCGTAGCTAGAACAATTCTCCTCGTCTTCTCCTAGACGTACACGTATATATACTGGGATTAGACATCGCGACATCTGGTTTTCGAGCATACTTTATAAATATCCGCAGCTATTCAAGAGTGGCCCCCATCGTTCGATATCGACGGATCTATCTTTGCTCCTCGGCAAGTAGCGATTATTAATGACGCGAGACTCGCGCGCGAATCGAGAACACCTTGGACCAGATATCTATCGAGGAGCTCGCTCGGTCGCGAGACCGATTGATGGACGACTGTAATTAACGTTCGAGGGTGAGCCTGCGCGTGCAATTATAATTAGCAACGCGTTCGGGGAGTTCCAGGTGCCTGACCGATTTATTCGCAACGCGTGCGTGCAACGGAAACAGGCTTTCGCAGCGTGACGTAACGCGTAATCGGCCAACGCGTCGCGCTTTTCCACGGGGATCCACGGAAACGTGTGGAAACACGGAGAACCCGTACATCCGCGTGGTCCATACGTGTTCGGCGGTTTCTAAATAGAATCATCGTCGTCCACTTTCACCTGCGTCGAGTTTTCGACGGTTCCCTCTCGCGCTCCCCGCTCGTCGTTTCCCCTCGTCGAGCACACGACCGATCGGATTCAATGGTCGCCGGGTTGATCACGCGATAAAGGATAATCCGAGCGAGCGCTTGTTAACTCTCGTTCCCGTTTACCCCGCCATTTTTCGTCCATTACATCCCTTCACCCTTGCGCGGGTGAAAGAGGGACGACAAGCAGTCGTATTCCCGTCGCAACTGCGTCACCGTTTCGCAGTGACGGGAACAGAGATCCCGAAGCTCGCGAAATTCGATCATCGAGCTCGCGATGATCCACGAAATCGCCTAGCGAGATGATAAATATCAACGGGGGAGAAGAAAACGGGGGAGAAATCGCTATCGGAGCTTGCCGAAAGTCCTCGACGAGCCTCATCAGTGTCCCTCATCAATCAAACCTTTCCTCGAGGTAAAAGCACGCTCGTTATCTCTCTCTCTCTCTCCTTTCTCTCGTGGATGAAGCGTCGCGAAGGCTGGTCAAGCGCGAAAGCAGCCTCGCGATAATCCGTACACCTCGAACGGCGTGCCATCGAGCGGCAAAGGCTCGGTGGTAGGTAAAAGCCAGGGGTATGCCATTTTCCGACGCCGTCCCTTGACCAGACTGCCAAATTCTCTCGCGCCATCTCCTCCGGCGTGACAAAGAAATTCAGATGAAGGTCACTTTTCCGATGGAAAGAGGCTCGCACGGGCAACGAGGGGTGCGCGACGAAACAAGAGGCGAGCTTCCACCCTCTCCGCGGCTCTGCCTCGATCGACGAATAAATTTCATTCAGGTGACATGTTCCAGCACGAGAAAGCCGCGCTCCGATACGCGTTGATTGCAAATTAGTTGATTTTATGCGACCGTGGAGCGCGATTAACGGCTGTCCCTTCACGAGTGGATTCGCTGCCGAATCGATTTACACGGGATGTTACCTGTCTTCCCTCTTTTTTTCCTTTTTCGAGTACTTTGAAGCAGCAGCCGGAGTTAGATCGATAGGACAGGGAAAGGGGTTGATTATTCGGTGAAGAGGGAATAAACGGTTCCGGGAGAGCGGAATCTCGGCGGTCAGAGGACGTTGCAAGCAATTCGACCACCGACCGATGGAAACGGTTGACCGCGACGACGTCGGGCAGCTTACAGCGTGTAAAAATGTCCGATCGAGCCAACCTAGCGGAAGAGATACGGATACGCTCCCCTCTGCTGCCCCTTTTCCAGAGAAATCCTCGACTCGAAAACGGCTCCTCGACTCCGTTTCGAGTCCACGTGGTTCCATCCGGTGCAGGAAACGGGGTTCAAGTGCCCGCGAACCACCGGGCCCCATAGCGATCGAGAGATCGGTCGTGGGAGGACGTCGATATCGAGCATCGCTGTCGCTGTGCAGGCTTTAATTACATCCTTTCGAGGCTCTCGTTCGACGTTGCATCGAGATAAATGAATATTTATCAACCTCCCGCCACCGATCCCCGGGCACAGTCGAAATCTAATCCCCGGGAGGAAGGGTGGGCCGGGTAACGCGAGCAGGAGGCCTCTGTTTACCAACTGCTGGCGGGTCCTTCAACTTTCTTGCACCGGTTCCTTCACGGTGCCGCGAATCACGCGAATCATCGACGTATTCGCGCGTCTCCCCGAGCTTTCCGCTCGCTTCCGTCGCCGCGGCCCGGGGACGCCCGTGTCGCTTGGAATCAGCACGCGGAATCATAAGCCGAACGCTCGTCTATAATTCACCGGATTACTCCAGCGTGAAGCTGATTCTACCAGTCAGCGTTTTACCGCGAGCGAAAAAAGAAAAGGGAAAAAGGAAGGAAGGAAGAAAGAAAACGGGATGAATAAATGAAAGCGAGCAGTTCGGTGCCTGGGAAGGGAACCGCTTCGGAATTTTTTAAACTGGCCAAGAGAAAGCTCGAGTCTCGGGTAAAAGTTTCCAGGGACCGCCGCCATGACCGTCGAGCCGTGATCCGCGTATAACGCGAGGTACCGCGGATTTTCATCGAATCATCGTTCGATCGCGGTGCCGTCATCTCGGTCCTCGGTCAGCAACGTCGTCGTCGGTTCTTCTCCGCCGGCCCGGGCTGAAAGCACTCGAAACGCGCAAACAGGAGGAACCTGTACAACGGAGGCGAACGGAAGGAATCGCGGAACGAAGGGAGAAGGGAAAAGGAAAAAGAAAATGGAAAGGGTGGAAAGGAAAAGAAAAGAAAAGGTCTGAACCCGAGGAGAAGAGAGAAGGAGAGCGAGGGATACGGTGGACAAAAAAGGAGCGAGGGAAGGAGAGGAAAAGAAACGAAGACAGGAACGCGATGAAGGGGACCGCGAGGAGAGGGTTAGGCAAACGCGGGACGGCGAGGGGGTTGTAGGAGAGAAGCAAAAGGGGAGGAGAGAATCACGTGGGAAAGGGGAAAAGCCGAGATACGGGGAGAGATCAATACGAGGTCGCTAGGCAACGAGCCTCCGGCGATCTCAGTGCGGGTAGACAGGGTGCCGCCAACAACCCCTGAAGCCACCCACCAGCCACCCCCGAACCGACCTGCCTCCCGTTGCCTCTGAATATACCCGTGCTCACCTCTCTCTTTCCACCGTTCCTCCTCATCCTACTGTTTTTCATCCTATCCGCTCTTTCTCTCTCTCTCTCTCTCTCTCTCTTCCTCCCTCTTTCCATCTCCATCTCCCTTTCTCTCTCTGTCTTTATGTTTCTCTATGCGTTTCCCTCCTCCGCCCACCCTGGCTGCTCCTCGTCGCGAACCCTGCTATCTCCTGCGGACGTACGCTGCCTTCGAAATCTCTCCTGCACCTGGCTGCGAGCTCTTGATACCGCTTGCAATATTTACGATAACCGTTTGCATAGGAATCCCGATTTTGCGGCGGATACGCTCGCGCCGGTTTGTCGAACGGACAAGGGCTGTATCGGAAATCGGCCCCGGTGGCCAGCCAGCCAGCTAGCCAGCCATCCAGCCAGCAAGCCAGCTAGCTAGGTAGCTAGCCAGCCAGCCAGCCAGCCAGGCTGGCCTCACCTGCGTCCACGCCAATTTCTTTCTCTGCCCTTTCTCCACCTCTCTCTCTCTCTCTCTCTCTCTCTCTCTCTCTCCCCCTCTCTCTCTTTTATCGCGATATCGCTGAGCCACGCTTCCTCTGTTTCTGCCCAGGCGACTGGCTTTTTTTTAGCCGGGATCGTTTGAAGATTTTTACAAAGACGTTGGACGCTCGATTGATCGGCAGCCGAGAGGAGGATCGGCCTGTGACCCGGATGTATCGCCACCTGTTGTAGCGCCGTTACAGACCACGATTTTCCTTCAAGATCTACGATCGTCTTCCGGGAATTTTGCTTCGTGAAAAACGCCCTCTTTGTAGCCCTATCGTGTTATTCGCGGATTTGAAAACGCGGAGAGTTACCGAGTTTCGGGTTCCATAGGGGGCTCGGAGAGTGGATCGATCGCTTTTGGGCGATGATCGATGACGAGAGGAGTTACAGATTCGATTCATTTTTATCGCGATAGGGGCGATAAGCGCGGAGACGATCGGAACGAGCTCTCCTAGAAGAATCGAATTAACGTACGAAGTTTCCCATCGCTTCGCCGAACGAAATTATCCCGGATAAGGATAGGGTGATAACGATGATGGACGAGGTGGCACGAGGGTTAGGCGATACGTAAACCGACGGTAAAATAAACGTTGTTTCGACAGGATGGTCGCTTTAATCGGACAATTGGCAGATCATGGCTACGCCTCGCAGGATCCAGTGCTCGGGCGAATGGTCCGTCGGGAGCCATATGGCGATTACGAAGTTGGTCGAGTGGCCGGTCGTAGACAGAACACCTTTTCTCTCTGTGGTTTTGTACACGGGGCAGGTGTACGTGTGCCTCTCCGGCACATCGTCCTTCTTCATCGGTATCAGCCAAATCTGCCGGAACGAACGAGACAGATTGCAGGAGAATTCGATTGCTTGCTCACCAGGCGTGAGGAAAATACGCGAAACGCTCTCGGGGAATGGATAGATAAGAGATCTCGAGGAACGAGAAGCGGGAGGGCGCGAAGGGACCAAGGGTTTTTCTCTTTCTCGAACGGAGCAAGAGATACTCGGATACTACTCACGTAAGGAACCACGTCGTACAAAATTTTCGGCAACGACTCGTCGAGCTTCATCGTCGTCCTATTGAAACGTGCCCCGTCGAGGAACAGACCGTGCACGTAAACGCCGTCGGCTGGAGGCTCCGGGAAATCGGTTCCCTTCAAAGGGATGAAATCGTACACGAGCAGATCTATCGGTATCGAGTACTTTCTCGCGTAGTTTTGACGTGCACCCGTGAGAAACGCTTGAGTGAAGTAGAAACCCGAGATCCAAAAGGTCGATGGTGCACCCTCGTCGTACCATAGCTGAAATCCAGGTAGAACAATAGAATAATAGATCTTCACCGAGGAAAATTTGTAAAACAAACGAATACTCATTAGGCTGTCAATAAACTGTCAATAAATGTTCTTAGATGTACATATACGAAATCCTACCTGAAATTTTCTGCCTAAAAATGAAAATTAACGACCCCCTGCAAGACCCATCCGATAAATTGGTCGGTAAAGAGGTTAAACGATTACATAGGTGGAAAGTACGCGAGTGTTTACCTGAAGGAAAGCTAGCCTCTTTAAGAAATCCTGAACGTAGCTGCCGAGCGGCTTCAACGACGGATAAGAGTTCGTCATCCACATCTTCGGTATCTTTCCAGTAATTATCGATACGTAGACCTCCTCGAGGTCCGGGTTCATGATCACCAGACCTTAGATTAAGTTCACGAAGCCGTGAAAAATCGATAGACACAGAGCGGCTGGCCGTCACAAGCTTAGCCGTTTACCTTTGATCGCTTTCTGAACATTTATGAGGCTATTCCTGATCGTTTGCAGAAGCTTGTTGAATCTTCCCATTTCCTGGACCAGCACCGTGTTCATGCTTTGATTATATAACGTCGGGTATTTCTCGAGTGCATCCGCCAGATCGAAGTCGTCGGGCAACTTTGACAGAATATCAGACGCTACACCGTAGACGATCTCGTCGGGTGATTTTCCTACGTCTGTTTCCGTTTCTCCGGTGTCCTAATTGGAGGACGGAGCAACACAGGGCCTCGTTAGTCGTCCGCACGATTCGTCACGCAGAATACATTTAAGGAATCCTATTATATTTGTGAAACACGAGGCGAGCCGAGGCGACCGCGTACACGCCTTAATTGTCTCGAAATTAATGAACGAAGATAATGATAACGACCGCCCCGTGATACCAGCAGTCGGGATTTCCCGCAACGGGAGCGAAGGGTATTTTTGATACGCATCGTGTCGACGGTAAACTAGAAGGGAATGTTCTTGCTTCCGTGGAATACCAACGCGAACCACGCCAACTATCGAAATTGCTGGAATACGTTAAATGACAGGATTTAGCATCCTCTTACCTTCCTCCTCGACTTCCTCAGCTGTCATCCGCAGGCACAATAAAATACATATATCATATTACCATATTCTCTAAATTGAAATTTTATTTCGAAATTACTTACTTTCACACCCTGGATAGTCTGGATAGCGATGAAACACGTTGAAACATAATGAATCTTTTATGGATAAAAATCGAGTATCGTTTGGAAATGCCCTCACCTGCGTGGCCAATATAGACGACAGCATCAAGGTAGTCTCCTGCTGATCCTTGATGATGTCTGCGTTCTCGTTCATCCCGAAGACGCTAGGCGCGGTAGCCATTGGCAGAGACCAAACGTAATCGAGAAATTCGCTATGCTGGCTGACTTCCGGCACGTAGTATATGCCACTGGGGTCGAACAGGTATTTCTTCTCAGCGATCACACCCACGCAGTAGAATCTTTCGAGGATCGTGGTCAAAGTTCTTCTGTCCCACTCGTCTGTCACTCGGCCGCCATAGTTGCACTCGCCTGTAAAGATAAATTAAACGATCTAATTATCCTTGTCACCAAAATCACTATCTTCTCACGGGTCAATCTTGGAAACGAAAGTAAACAATTGACAACCGCGTTTAAGGATTCAGAAGGGAAAGCTCTGATACCTGTCAAATATTTTAAGGCAGTGAACTGAACGTCGTCGTACTGGTCCAAGAAAATCTTCAGCTGCAACGCACTGATCCGCAGATCGGTCTCGTTGAACTCGTATTGATTATTCCAACCGATCGGCCCGAACTTTCTGCGTTCCTGCACGATCGCGTGGAAGAAACACAGAGAAAATAGTAGCTTCTTGAACACCTGCGATTGTTTGGACGTTTCGAAGAACTCCTCGTCGCATATCGGGTCCTTGTAGAGAAAGAAAGGATCGAGAATATATCGAGTAACCAGGATTCGATTACATCCACCTCCTAGATCAGAGTTTCTCAACTTTTCTCGTTGTTTCGCTGTTTCGGTACATCGAAAAATAATCAGAATTTCTGAAATAAATGCTCGTAGATGTTTGCGTTACCCTCGTCTCCGTGGTTTCGTAATTCTATTTTCTCGAGACCTCTAAAAGGCCCTGTGGCTATTGAGAAACTCTGCTATAGACTCTATGCAGTCTCTTCTTCGTTACCTGTAAAAAGGACCTGATTATATTCGCCCTGAGTCCTTTCGGTGGTTCGTTGGTCATTTTAACCCCGTTCTGAAGAACGCTGACTGGGAAATGGTCCACGGGGTAGCTGGTCAGCCATAATCGAAAGTCTGGGTGCACGGTTTCCGGAGTGAAGCTCTCGCAGATCTGAAAGAAAGTTCTTTTTCCCCTTTCAAACACCGTGATCCATCGCTAGTGACGTGGTTCAATGGTCAGTCCGAGATTCGACGATACCTTCTCCAATAGCGGCATAAAGCTCTTGGCAAGGTGACAATTCTGCAGAACCACCCAGGTGCCATTTTTCACTCCCTCGTCGATAAGCTGGGCGGCGATAACTCCTTGTCCTTGACCCAAAGACAGGGAGAACAGTCGGTTGGTGCCGAAACCCTGATCGTCGGCGAATTTCAGTAGAATCGCCATGGGATCCGCGCCAGGCGTCAGCACGAATATGAGGGGAATGCAGGAATACGAATCCGCGAACGACGATACCAGGTCGAAGGGCGGCGGCTCGATGTACTGACGGCCCAGTTGCTCTGGCAGAAATTAGCGCAACATTGTTCGCTTTACAACGAAACTCGCGATACAACGACTATGGCTATATAGACATATTAACCCTTATCGGTCGTAAGTCACCTCTCACGTGACAATAATATTTTGTCGCTGTGTGGGAGATGACAAGACGTGAATCTATTCGCATGTTTACCGAAACCAGCTACAACCTAATGAGAATCACGTATAGGAAGCTAGCGTCCGATAAGGGTTAAATCGTTGCATTCTTTTCGTTCCTTTCGCTCGCACACGTTCCCTCCTCTTCTTCGTCGGTGTACCTCGACTTTCGTTACGAGCCTTTTGTACGAAATAAAGCTTCTTGGCGGCTGCGCGGAACATTCTTTTTAATAAATATGCAAAGGAAGACACAGCGTCGGGTTGTCGCTCCGTTCAACGAGGAAAGATGTTCCAACGCGAAGGTTTCTTACCTTCCACAAATTGCTGGACGCCCGGCATGACTTTGTCAGGACGAATACATCGCAGCACGAGCATTCTCTCAAAAGGGGCGAGCTCGTTGTAAGGCGCGGGGAACGTTAAAGTGTGCGGCTCCATATGATCAAAGACGGTCTTCCAAGCGTCTAGGTTTTTCTCGAACGAGTCTTTGAATCCCTAAACGAAAGGAAAACGGGAAGCAGCCCGGCGTGAGTATGGAGAAACCAACGATTAAGGTCGAAATTGTTGGGAAACGAGGCGGGGAAGCGTTGGGAAACAGCGACGAACGCGAAACAACGTTACTCCCCGCTTCGTTCTCGCCTTTATCGGGTTATGCCCTACCTCGAAGCCTGGTATACCGTCCAAACGACACAATTCGTCCCAGGATTTCGAGGGTAGCCATTGCGTGGGGTTTGCGAAAGGATTCTCAAGGCCAACGCCGCCGGTCAACAGAAACATCCATTGGGGCATCGAGACTTTTCCCTGCTTATTCAGCAGGTTCACTGAAAGCAGCAGCGAGAATAAAAGCTTGTCCTTCTCGAATAACGATCGACATATGTTCACGTAGAGGGAGTGTGTGAAGTGCTTCGTGAGATCCTTCAGTCGTTGCTGAATGTCTTCCACCGTTTCCGTGTTGTCGATGGTGTTCTTAAAGAGATTCACGAACCAGACCAACGAGTACTGATACATTGGATCGATGTTCGCTAAAACGGCTGCGAAATATGTCAAATTAGGCGAATTCCTGTTTGGACCGAAGGAGCAACTCGAAACGTACCGATAGTGAAGAACAGGACAGTGCTATAAGTCGCTATGGGCGTGTACTCTAATCTCGCGGCGTCGATGGATTTTTCCGTGACCTCGGCAGCGGTTTGCTTCACGATGATCTCGTCGGAGAGGTTCTTGGACGAACTGAGCACGCTGATCGCAGTTTCGTCCTCCAGGATATTCCCTTCCGCGGTCGAGAGCACCTCCAGAATTTGGTCTTCGATCTCCTTCAGTTTCCTACGAAACAACGTCGCTGATGAACATCGAAGAAACGCGATAGAACGTTAATGTACTTCTTATTGGCAGCTCCTTGAACGATCAGTTGGTTCTTCTCGGCCTCCAAGTCTGGCCGTTCTTTGGCTACCACGATACCCAGTAGCTGATCTTCCAGTCCCATCGGCGTGATCATGAAATTTAGTAACGTTACCTTCACTGCTACTTCGGGTAGGTAATGAGGATTTCGCAATTTGGTCGTGATGTAAAACCTGCGAAGAGCGACGACGATGAACGAGAAGATCTTGCATTCGACGTGCAAGCTGCAATTCTGATCTAATAAATGTAAGTGAACCCAATACCGAAAGCTATCCGAGTACTCGATGATGGAGTCTCCAACCTTGATGCACAGCGTGCCACCTGCTCTGAAGGTTTGCTTCATCAGAAGCGGTTCCAGAGCTGCATCGAGCTCCTCGCCGACGTTCTCCAATAGAACCGGTTGTCCAAACTGGATGGCATTCTCCAAGACTCTCATGTAATCGGTCTGCGACAGTCTGATCACGTTGATATTGTTCTCCTTCTCCATATTCTTCACCCACTTGTTAGCCTGGCCCTGAGGGTCGATCATCAGAGGCCATCGTCGAGAGTTCGTGACAATTATCCCGTTATCTATCGAGAACAAATCGGTAGGCAGGCCAAAGATGTTCCACGAGCGTATCAGCACAGGATCGCCTAGGATCTGAGTAAGCTGATAGTCCTTCGTGCAAACTATTTCCAAATCGGTGCAGATCTGCACCCAATTGTCAGTCTGCTGCTGCCTGTACTGAGTGGTGAACACCCCCAAATAGGCCACGATGCCAGAACCGATGAGAATGTCTCCTGTCAGTTTGTAATAACGCTCGCCCAGCTCTTTCGCGGTATCGGACCATCTGGTGTACTCTCCACCCAAGCCGCCAATCAGCTCTCTGGCCCTTCTTAATTTCGCCTCGCACTCGTTCACTTCATCCGTCATCGCCTGATACTCCGCCCTACGTTGATCCAACAGCTCCTCCAGCTTGGCCAACCTGTCCCTCACCTCTTGAAGCTGACTTCTCTTCAAGTTCAACTGCGTCATAGCCTCGCTGTAGTCGGCCTCTGCCTGTGCCAGGGCTTGCTTCTTCGGGGCCACGATCTTCGCTACTTTGTCGTACTCCGAGAGCGCGAACACCCATCTGCACAGACCTTCGCAGGCAGTGGACACGTTTCTGATTCTCTCTGGGTCGAAGTTTGGATTTGTCAGAATAGCGGTACGGATTTTTGTCATGATCCTCTCGGGAATGTTGTCCTTGTCGTAGTTTAACAGCGATTCGAGGAACTTCATGTCGCTCAACATGCGAAGAGATGGCTTCCAGTAGTCATCGACGGTTCCCTCCTCGGTTTTGACCTTCTCCGGTTTTACGTCCTAATAGGATAAGATAGAATTCGTTGTTTCGTTATCTCGTTATTGGTAGTTAATGCTAGATGCTTTGGCTATTGGCTATAGGGCGAGCTCAGCAGAGTGAAGGTACCTTCAGAATGCAAACTGCTTCCATCACTAACCGAACACCGGCTGGTGGTCGTTTCATGGATCTCACTATTTGAATATCCTGTGGAGTCAGGGTGTTCAAGGCATCGTTGGCCGCGTTTAATATAGGCATCACTTCCTGCAGATCGGCGTCGCATTCCAGACGAATGGCCTCGGCTTGGTCCGCAACGACCTGGTGATCCAATAATTTTCAAATTCGACAAGATATCAAGATAAAATCTAAAAAGCTATTCTTTCCAAACGTTGCAACCTGGTCCTGTACAATTTTCGTTGCTCGAAATCACGTTAATATTAACGTAACGCAAGGTGAAAGAGGCTTGGACAAGAGTAATTAGAAAACGCGAGGAAACAAGTCGAGTGCTCTTTACAGGCAAAAGCTTCCTAAATAAAATCATAAGTGACTGTGATCTTTAAGCCGGCAACACCTTACCTTAGCGGCCTCCTCGTCCACCTTCACTACTTGCTCCATGGCAGCCGCCTCGTCGCTTTCCTTTTGAACGTCGAGAAACATGGCTTCCACGTCCTTAGCGGCGACGAGGAGCTTCGGTTGTAGCGCGACTAAAATCTCTTGCATCTTCTCCACTTGCCTATGAGTACTATCCAACTTTTCCAAGCCTGCCTCGTACCTCCTCTTCCCATCGACCGCCTCCTTCCTTTTTTTCGCCAGCAGATCCTTGAAAGTGTTGATGAGCTCCAGGTACGAGGTCGGAGTAACGTAGTTGTGCCGCTTCGTCTTCTTCAGGAACTCCTGCGACAAGTCCTGCGTGGATACGTGGAAGAATTGGCACATCTCTATGCAGGCGGCTCGTTCCTTCTCTGTTAGCTCCACCTCGTCCAGGAATTTAGTCGCCACGGCGACTAACGCGTCCTCGGGCCAAGGTTGCAGCCAGTCTATCGTGCAGCAGTTCACCAGCGCGGGGAATTTTCGTATCCTGACACGGAAATTTTCGCCGATAGGCGACATAGTGACCACCACGTGCAAGTGCTCACGGACAGTCTGCACGAAGAAATTGAACAAGGCCACGGGACTTCCATCGGTCTGCAGGGATCTGTCCCTCTGACGATCGATCACTCTCATCTTCTCGCAGATATCCGAGATCTCGTCAGCGGCGAATATATTCGGCACTTCTCCGGAGTTTAGCAGATTGCTGATGTCCTCGAGGAAGGTTTCCTCTTTAATCTGTGTATCCAAGAACATGAAGACGGTGTGCAGCTCGCTCGCCGCGCTCTTTCTTAATATATCTTTCACATCCTCGTGCCATTCGTAACGTCCATACTGTTGAGACATTTCCACCTGGAACAACTCGTAATCCGAGATATGTGCTGCCAATTTCGTCAACGACTGACGTCCTGAACCACCTACTCCGATTAACAGCGCGTGACTCCGGGGCTGCATCATTATACGAGTGATCTTTGACAGATGCTCCACGGCGAACCTAGCGAAGATAAAATGAAATATAGAAGACGTTTTCGTCGTTTCTCTTTCACCCGGGACGCTGGGTGCGCAGCAATAAGCGAAATTGAGACCTGAACAAGACAAGAGTCATCGGAGTCCTCGAAATCGAATTATACTCTTCGAGATATTCTTCGGCTACGACCGCGAGGTAATCCAAATCCGCCACTTCGACGTACAGCTTCTTGTCCGCTAGTGGATCGTGGAAGTCGCAATAAACCAGATTTCGAAGCTCCGTTTCTGTCACCTAATCCAAATAGTTAGGAACGAGAAATTAAGGTTCTAAGAAATTATCCCTTTAAGAATATCAACGTACCTTGCCACCGGACGCGGTGAGTAAATCTTCGAACAGGTGGTCCAGATCCTTTTCCATATATTCCGACATGGTTTTTCGTATCTGCTCGACGAGCCATTTAATGTCATGATCGTCTACCAATCGATCGCCATAAACTCGCAGCACTTCGTGTACCCATAGACGCTTCAGCCGTACCTTAAAACGTCAAGACGTCGAAATGATGCAAATAATTTTCGTATCTAAAGTCAGCCTAACCTCGCAAAGAGGCCTCGTCATCGGTACTCGAGGTTATTCGAAAGACGCGAAAGGTCATCGAGGTCGCGACATTGACATTCGACGTCATTCGAGGCTCACCGTGTATTAATAGCAATCGAAATCAAGTTTCCGACCATGCGGATCGAAATAACTATGCTCGTTTATCACGAATAAATTAGCGAAATGTCGCAAAGACGATTTTCATAATATCGCAACGTCTCGTGAAACGAAAATTAATTAATAATAATTTATCTACCGATTTTTAGACACATACGGGCTCAGTGACGGTCTCAGGGGTGCACAGTAGCACACCCTGGATCACCCTCGCGAAGTCTCGCAAGTTAAACAAGTAATGGCATTTCGCTGGTGTTGGCAAAAGGTATTTCCTGGTCTCCTTGTAAATGTCCAGCGTGCCGCTCACGATATACTCGATGCTGGGGAAAAAAAATTCCGGAAATTCTTTGTTGCTAAAGTGCCAAGAAACGATGGTTGTAAAGATGGTGTTGAGGACGTCGTCGGAGAACTCTGAAATTCCCAGCGTGAAAAAGTGCCTTTTGAATCGCGGCGTAACATCCAGTCCGCTGGCCGGTGGACCCATTGCGCAAACCAGCTGAACGTCCACCAGATGTATGGGTGCCACTTCCTTTAAATCATACCACGTCCAGTGGTCCAGCCACTGTCTTAGCAGCTCTATGGGCGGTTGAGCGCCGTATTCTTCTTTCTGCGGCATGGAAACGTCGTCCACGAAAACCACCCAATGCTTTCCTGGCGGAGCTCCATACAGCCCCTTCTTTCGCCTGTCCAATTTGTTCATGATGATCTCCTGGGTCTGGTTAGCGCTAGTTTGCGCGGAAAATATCACGAAAAGAGGCTTAAAGGTTTCCGGATCGTTCTTCTTTAACAAAAACTCCATGATGTACACGGACTTTCCGGTACCAGTTGGCCCGACCAGCAGGACAGGTTTCTGATGGCAGATCAGCAGTTTGAACAGATGAAAATAACGAACGGTCTCGATCGTCGGGACAATTATCTGATTCACTGGCACGTCTTTCGGTATCGCAGGAGCGTCTTGCAAATCCTCCATCCAAGGCCTCCATTTCCCTCTACCCTCTTTGATGTACTTATAATCGAACACCAAACCCGTTAATGGCAAGTTCACCACATACGGTTTCGATGGGTCCGTGGTTTCCTCCGAAATGTTGAAACGTTCTCTGACATCAGCGGGAAATTCCCTCTCCGTTAACGCTCTGAAGAGATCACTGAACCATTCGCGAGAGTCCACCATTAACGTGCCGCCCATCGCCCAGATACAGGAAAAGAAGAAACAGCCCTGAAACACCCTTGACACTCGTAAGTTTCTCCATTCGTCAGGAGAGCTTGGGACGTAAAAACAGAAGCATTTACCTCCATTTGTGCCCTCATGTCTAGATCCGATATGGTTTGGAGATACTTTTCGTCGTGGTAATCGTCCAGGAAACAGTCGAACAAGTACGTCACCGATCTGACCAAATTGGCGTCTGGCATTGTTATTAATTCCTGTGGAAAAATTTGGAAAAATATAAGTTAATAAATTATTTACGTTGATTTACTAGCGACACCCTATCGAACCTTGACTCCCCGTCGTAGCAGGTGCAGTAACGGAGGGCAGAACCTCGTGTACATATCGTGCAAATGGTTCTTAATGTGATCGGTGAAGCTGGATGGCAAGGTGTTCAACCACGAGAGCAGTATCGGCTTCCAACCCAAGCTGACCGGTTCCATGTAAATCATGCCACATCTTGACACGGTGGCGGGTGATGCGACCTATCCTCCCGATTACAGACACTTTCGTTACTCGACACAGAGCATCAACGATAACAGGAGAATGAAGATCATCGCTTGATTAGAAAATACATTTCAGTGGTCTACCTCCAGGTCCATGGGCTCGAAAATTAAGCTGGTGGTAGGCGCCAGCTGGATAATTTCCCCGGAGGTCAGGCACAGCTTTTTATTGTCGTCCAGGACAGTGTTCATATTCTCGATCCACAGGGCGTCCACCGGTCCGTCGAAGACCAACCACTTCCTATTCAGATTGGTGGAAGTCGCGAAAGCTCTGTAACTGACAGCGAGCACACCGTCGCTCCATTCGTGCGAGGCCGGGTCAAACTGGCCGTATAATTGGCCCATGGTGATCGCCTTCGGATTGATAACCGTTATCTCCACCCGATGTTCGTCCATCAGCTTTCGATCCTCCAGCAGGCCGAGACAATTAGCCAGCATCCTGTAAGCCGAGGTTTTCCCGCCGAACGGCAGGCCGACGATCATGAAGCCGTGCCTGACGATCATCATTTCGTAGATCTGCTGGATCTTCTGCAAAAAGAAGTCGGTGCACTGGATGTTGGCCGCCTCGCATGCATCCCTCGTGCACGCGTTCAAGTGAGTATAATCTGGCGGAGGAAGAACGACGCCGGGAAACAAGTCCGAGGCAATGCCTTCGAAAAGCGGTAGGTCGTGAACCAGAAACTTGGGCAAATTCACGTCTAGTATACTCCTCAGCATCAGAATGTCCTCGGACTCCTCGGGATATCTGAGCTTCAGGTTGCCAGCTGCGACGAGGACTGATTTAACGGCTCTCATGCCGTAATCGTAATGATGCTGACTGCTCAGCTGCTCGGAGCAGAGTCTGTAAGCTGTAACGATCTTCACGGCTAAAGGTCTACCGTTATAAAAGCCGTAAGAATACAGCGTGTTCTCGGCGATCAGCGCGTAATCCGGCACCATCATGGCCACGGGACGGAATAGGGCCTTGAGATTGTCCGGCAGCTCGGATCTTCCCGCGTAACCCGGATTCATCGTGATGAAAATGGCGCACGTCGGATCTATAGAAATTTCCGTCCCCTCGAACATGATCTTCTCGGCGTCGCTGTGTATCGCGCGTTGGATAGTTAGAATTTGTTGCGCCACCACGGAGAGAACCTCGAGATCGATACGATTGAATTCGTCGAAGCAGGACCAGGCACCGCAAGATGCTAATCCCTTGAAGAATTTCCCTAAAGCAAGGTAATCCAGGCCCTCGGAACAGTTGAAGACGACGCACTGTTTGGCTACCGCTTTAGCAAGGTCCTTCGTCGTTTCCGTTTTACCAGTCCCTGCTGGCCCTTCCGGGGCCCCGCCTAGGTGAAGGCTCAGAGCACCGAACAGAGTCCGGTAGCATCGATCGGTCAGAGGTGTTATCACCAGCCTGGAAGAGTTACCTAGGTACTCGTATCCATAACGTTGCTGCGAGTTTATCATGTAAGCCCACATATTCTCCTCCTGAAACAACCACGTTCCACGAGGTAATCTCACTGTTCTAATCGTTTTCTCAATCCGCGAAACGATTAGTCTGCGAAACTTACCAGCCAGTAGTAGCGTAAATGGCACAACCACCTGAAATCGGTATTCTTGATCACCTCGTCCAGGTAAAGATTCTCGAGCACGTCTTTCCCGTGAACATCCAGCGTGACCAAAGCTTCTACGCAATCGTGAATGTACACACTGTTACATTTTGTACTGATACAGAGACGAAAGAATTCGATAATCACCCAAAGTGATGCGGTTCTGTTTGGACAATTTGCCCCTGATCAGCAGTATGACCTCGTTCAGCTCTGTCTGACACTGGTCGAAGTAGTTCTTCAGACCTTGCACACCGGACAACATCGATTCCTCTATACGTGAGGTCCAGTACGTTTTGCCAACGCAAAGAATCGTCTGGCCCGGCCACTCCAGCACCCAAATATTCCGCGATTTGGTTGGATATGCCAGTATCGCCTGTAGCACCTCGTTCCGTATACTTTTTCGCATGATTGCCTCCAGTTCGACCAGCCATTTCTCCACTTGCCCCCTCGCAGACAAGGTGGATATTATCTCGATCAGATTAACCTCTTCGTCCTCTGTGGACAGCATGGCCAGCACCTCGAGGTCTTTGTTGAACTTCAGCCTGTGTATTCCCTCGAAACATTTCTTCAGATGCGGTTGAACGCTGAAACGAATAACGGTGACGTTCTCTCGGAAGTTGATTGACAATTAATTTCTCGCGATCGATCAATATAACGACAGGTTTTATCACCGAGTCGGGTCCTTGGTCTCGGATAGAATTTCCAGCAACTCGTCGTTGGAAAGGAAGAAAAACCTCGGGAAGAAGAGCCGTTTCTTCTCGAGGTAATCGTTCAGGCCTTTCTGGATATCTTCTAATAAACCATAGCTCTTCTTCAACCGCTCCAACATCTTATCGATCTCGATGACCGCCAAGACACGAGGATCCGCGTGAACGGTCTTCATAATGTCGCGCCACGTTTTGTCCACTGCAGAAAATTTCCTTCCCTCGTCTGGCATCTGTTGCTGGATATCCGGTGACGTGAAAATGGGCTCCAGGTACATCCAGATCGCCTGGACACGTAGCCACTGGTCCAGGATATCTTGTAGCAAGTGGAGCTTATACTCCCAGTTCCTGAAATAGAAATATTTTAAAAGCCAATTCCTCCATAAAATAGTGATATTTAATCAGCCACTATTCCTAAATTTTATCGAGATCCTTACAGTATTCTTGTCTCGAACGGTTTTATGTTCGGTGAGTTCTTTATGGTAACTGTCTTGATAATGTGATCGTCAAGGAGGAGCTGGATGTCGTCGACTCCGGCAATGACGTAGGTACCAGTGTCTTTAAAAGGGTTCACCGTGAAGGACAAATCGGCCCAGTCCTTCTGCATCTTGTCGATGGCCTTCTCCAAAGTGCTCTCCTTCGAGGCGTTGTCCGAGATGCTCTCGAACTGACTGACGTACGGAGCTAGACCCATGTCTATAACTCTGGCCAAGGTTAAATCGGCATCGACCTTTATCGGGATGGCTATGATTTCGGAAATTTGCTCCCAATGACGATCCTTCAGCCCCGGATTGCCGAGCGTAGATATAATCGGCATGTATTCCCTGAAATCCTCGATTTTTTCCCGCACGCTGCTTGCCAGCTGCCTCATATCTGGCTCTTGGAAACTTCTCTCCAATTTATAGATCGTCCTGCATCGTGTAAACCATTTCCATTAGCCGTTATTTCCCCGACAGGAAATTATATTTCGCTTCTTATCGTTAAATATAAGGTTACCGGGGAAATTTATCGAATTGCCGACGTAAACGAAAGAGGTGAAAATTATAGTACCGCGAGACGTAGAAAATAAACGATTATGACCTGTAAGCGTGTCCTACATCGTTGTCGATATCCTCGGGATTGTAAGTGCCGACCATGGAGTTTAGCCACTTATCCTGTTTAGTCAGAAATTCGCAAATTGCATCAAAGAGTTGCTTGTAGGGCTTCAGTTGATCAGCGATCTGCTTACGGCGTGGGTATTGCGTTATGTCCCAACCAAACGCAGCTTCCTCTTCGTTAAACTTATCGATCTTCTCCATGGCGGTGATCAGTCGGTTCTCTAAATTTTGCGCTCTCCTCTGATACTTGTACACCTCCGCGATGTCTCCCCAATATTGAATCTCCTCTATTTGTTTGGCATAAGACTCCAATTCCTCTTCGAATCTAATATACCTAACTGTTGAGATAAGAAACAATTTCGATCAGTCAATCGCAGTGTATTCTTCCTTTCTTTCTTCCTCGAGTCTCAGCACCTTTTAAGGCCTCCTGAAACTCCACTGTCTTATTCGCGACGATGGATTCGTTTTCCTCCAGTATTTCTGGAATCTTGTGGTACCATTGAAACGCCACGTTGTTGCTATCTATTTCGTTATCCTCGAGTACTCGATAATCGGACAACAGAAGAATATGCCTGATTATTTCGTAAAGTTTCTGCTCCAGATTCTTCAAAGTGACCTCTATGGTTGTCTTGATAAAGCTTTTAAGCTCCATCAGTTCGGCCGTATTGGCGGGTATGCTCAGGGCACGGTCGGATATAGCTCGATAGTCCTCTGCAACTCTAAACCGCGCACGCCATTATTAATCATGCAATCGCGAATAAATTCCGCGATGCTTGTTCAAAAGTAATTGAAGACTCACTTTATGGACATGTTCTGATACCTCTCGACGAGCGTGTCCGTGAGCAGACATTTTATTCGACAAATATTATCAACGATCGTCTCGATGAAAATCTGTCGAGATACCTTGAATAATCCAGAGAAAGCTGTCCTTTCGACCTGGACCGGGAAATTCAGCATAAGATTGTGATAACGTTTCATCTCCTTTTTGTAATCTTCCAACTTCTTCGTCTCGTTTTTCACGAACTGTTCTACCGTATAATATTCCTCGTCGTTGTATAAATGCTCGTATCTGCGAAAAGTACACAATAGAAGCTAAGAATTATGGCTTGCAACGAGGATCAATTATTCATGTGAATTACATTTGTAATTCCACTAATAACTGCTCTGGAATGAGTTTCTCGCGATCAATCAAGTCAATGATATCCAGTTTCAGTTTCTCCGTTATGGGTTGCTCTATCTGTGGCTGCATGGAAAATTTCGAATACAGTATTTGTACGCAAAATACCGTATATACATACGAAATAGAGAATTTCATACTTTTAACAAATCCTCTGGACCAGACCAATCCAAGTAGAGCTGAGTTTCTAATTTGTCGAAACGTCTAACAGCTTGACATACGTCGTCCAGGATACCGCAAAGGACGTCCTTAAATTTTTCAAAGGTTGGATCGAAAGCGAGCTCTTTGGATCTAACGACTATGTCCACATTAAATTCGCAATTAATCGGCTACAAGTAACGAACAATTACTGCGTGCTTCGTTCCATCTTGCGCATTAAACGGTTTACCTGGCCGCGAATGATCAAGTCCATGAAATCTTTTAAGCTGTGTTTGCACATTGACAACAGTTGCGACTCCATTATTTTGCCAATGCATCCGTAGAACCTTCTGAATCGTACTCGCTGCAACGGACTTGGAACTAATAGCTTTCTGTTATTCTACAGCGGAATAAATCATCAGGATTTGTTTCTTTTTTGTGGAATAAAGTAGGATTCACGATGATAATTAGCGAAATTTTACCACAAGGAATATATCCTGTATTCCAGTGTACCAAACATTCTTCAAAGTACTCCGTCCTTTGACTATTTGCTTATTGATCATTTCGTGAAATTCCAGCACGTCCCAGCTGTCTGGATGTTGTGCAATTTTCTTTAAATCGATCAATCGGAAATCACTGGAAGAAAATCTATCCTTGTGTATAGACCAAAAACGTTGTGCACGTGGTAAATGAGAAATATTTTTACCCGAAATCGCGAACCCAAAGATCCAACGTCATTCTCATGCATGGGTTTATGAGGTGCAAGTTGTCCTGCAGAAATTTCTGGCATTCTCGGACTTTGATCTTTAATCCAGGCTGAATATATTTTACTTTAAGCCATCTTTTATTACTTTCTTCCTGCTAAAGCGAAAAATATCTCTGTGAAACAAATATATCGTGATACATGTATGAAATATGCTATAAAAAGTTCAGCATAGGTAGCAATCGAACCTCATATGAATAACTTTCTACAGAATCTTGAAGTGCATATTCCAATATCGCTTTCTTGATATTTCTCGTGTACGTATCCTTGATCTCGATCAGTAAACTTTCCGTGAAGTAATTAAATCTATCTCTCAAATAGTATGGAATTAAACGTAATATCTTTTCCACAATGTCGTCTTGAATCTCAACTGTATGTACGGTATCACTTCCATTACAAATGTAATTGTAATATCGATTCACGTCTTGATCATTGTTTAAATCTACATTTGCATTCGGTAACTCGGTCTTCACGATTAAACTGACCATAAATCTGCAAGTAAACGTTATTTTAAAGCATAATTTAGTTTATCATTATAAAATTTTCTTTACAATTTTATGCTACATTAAAGAAAGAGTGAAATGATTAGCTGACCTACGAAAATTTTCTACTTTTAATCGCTTTCCTGTATATGTATCCTCGAATTTACGTTGCTTTCGCTTCTCTTGTCTTCTTTTGCACTTGATACATTCCATTAATTCCGGTGGTAAAGAAAATAACGGCTCAATTTTTGTATCATTTCCTTTCGGTATCTTCGAAATATATTTAGCGCGCTTTTTTTGAATCACCGGATGCGAAGTACCCTCGCACGATGTCACTTCCGCGCAATCACATTCCATATCGAAACTACTTGTTAGAAGAACTATGATGTTGAAAATGGATTATGGTTACTACTCCAAACATAACCATATAATTAATGCATCGATTTAAATTTTGAATACGAATAGATTAAAAGTTAAAGAGCAAAATGTAAATCAGAAAATTAATGTTTATTTCTACCTTATGATTGAATTTTGTATCATTTCAGGCGGCGCCACTTTCAGAGTCAAGTATAATAGTTGAAATACATAATTTTTAAATTACATACACGGTAAGTATGTTACAAAATAATCTTTTCTTCAAAATACTAATAGTTCAAATAATGTCACTGTATGGTGAAAATTTAATGCTTTAAAAGTCCTTTTTTCTGTACATTTAATATCATTAGACTAGGAATAGAGAATACAGATTATTGCAATTGATTACAGTTTCTAGGCAACGAAATTGATTGGTTTCTATAGGATTCGTAAAAATTGTAAAAGAAATTATCTTTTTAAAATTACCTTTAAAATTATAATGTTATTTCCGTTAAATAAAATATAAATCGAAATGAAGTTCAGACATTTTTAGGTTATGTCTTGATCATAAAACATTTTTTCATTTCCTTTTTATATATGAAATAACACAAATTGTATATTTCAGATGATTCTACGTCAATTGTTTCGTTCGGTACATACGAATTATGCACTCTGTTATGCATCAAATAAAGCATTATTAAGCAAGTTACGCAAGAAGACTGGATATACATTTTTAAATTGTAAAAAGGCCTTAGACCTCCATGACAATGACATGGAAAAGGTAAGTTAATTATTATACTGTGCCCTACTTAGAAATATTGCTAATTTTTCAATTATTATAGGCTGAACAATGGCTGAACGAACAAGCTCAGTCTCAAGGTTGGAGTCAAGCATTAAAATTAAAATCCAGAGTAACTTCTCAAGGTTTAATAGCAATGATTACTAATAATAATCATGGAGCACTTGTTGAAATTAATTGCGAAACAGACTTTGTTTCAAGGAATAAAAAGTTTCATGATTTAGCACAGATTGTACTTAATACTGTGTTACAACATGGAATGACAATTGAACAAGATTTATTGGTCAAAAAAACCATGTTATCTACAGAATCGATAAATAAATTATGTGCTAATGATGGTAAAAGTTTAAAAGATCATTCTGCAATGACTATTGGACTTATAGGAGAAAACATCGATATAAGACGTGCATTATGTATGAGTGTACAACCAGGTGTACATCTATATGGCTGTACCCATCCAACTCCTGTAAACCCAGTGCCATCATCTTATGGACGATACGGAGTACTGGTGGCTCTAAAATCTGATGAAAACAAAGAAATTCTAGGAATGCAACTATGCCAACATATTATTGGTAATTATACTTATCTTTGAATCGATTTATTACATTATTTCTCTTGTAAGAGTATATGTAATGTTTGTAATATTTGTAATAATAATACTCGATAATAATTGATATTAGGTATGAATCCAGTCAAAATTGGTGATACAAAAGTTGATATACCTACAGACAATGTAGATGATGAGCTTACTATGCTGTATCAAGAATTTTTATTTAATCCTTCCTTGTGCATACAAGAGTTATTACAAACCGAGCAAGTTGAAGTTTTAGATTTCGTACGTTTTGAAATGGGTGAAAATAAGCAAATATTGGATATTGTAGAAACCTGTGGTTAATGTGACTGGTATTCATTTAATAAATATATGTACTCGTCACATTTAAATTTTGTACATATTTTGTACAAAAGTATTACCATGCTTCTATGGTAAAAAATATGTAAGCAGATATAAAAATTAAATTTTAAAAAGTAGTAAAAAAAATAATCTAAATGCAAAGAATATCTAAAGTAATGGAATAATATTTAAATCATTGCTCTTCTATTTTTTCTTTGTCTACTGCACATATGTTAGATGATTTTAATTTGTTTCTCTTTCGCATGAGCTTCACAGATTTCCAAAGCCACATTCGTGAATCCTTTTTCCAGTAACGAGCAATATCTTCTGGCGAATACATAACTCCCTAAAATATCCAACTTTATCATTAATACATTTCATGATATTAATATCAAACTTTAAAAATCATACTTGGAAGTTCAAGATGTCAGAATGTTGAACAGTTTTCCTGTACAACATGTCTTTAGCATTTAGACCGAATAATTCTTGGTCAATATTATCAGATAGCTCAGTTTGTACATCGCTAGTTCGACGAAGCGGTATTGTGTCATTTTTAGATTCAATTTCTGCTTCCAATTCAAGACGTTCGAGAGCTGAGGTAAAACTCCTCGACTCTTTACAGTTTCCAAAGTTCGCCTATTATCGAAATATTAATATTTTATAAAATAACGAATTATAATGTATTAGAAATAAAAAGAATTATTTGACATTAATCAAATTGTGTAAACCTGTACTCCTTGGGAGCAAACATTACATCCTAATGCCACTGATAAACATATATCGCTCATAGTCTTGGATAAAAAACTTTTTTCATCCCAAGCAAAATTTTCAACTACTCGCAGAAGAGAAGAGACGTGATTTAATATCCATAAAACAGAAGGATTCACAACATGTGAGAAATAGTGACAAACCGCTCGAATGGTCGGACTCGTCATTTCTCCAGTCCATCAGCTTCTCGTCACGTCATATAAAATAAACTTCAAAAACTACTCGTATCCTTTAAGATCAACTGACAGGTACCGATGCCATTTCTGTCCGCGCATGGAGAAACAACACCCTTCCAGCAACATTATAATAAATGAGCGACTTTTATGCGACTGTTCACACAACTTCAGTATATTAGGTGGCAATTAATTATAGTTATCCAAACTTTCTCCTTGATGTATCTATATAAAAATACTTAAACGGAGTCTAGGCAATAGACATAAAACTTAATTTTCATACAATAATAAGGTGTGTAACAGTCGTTTATACTCTTAATCTTTATGAAACGGTAGGACGTTGTAATGGCGATCGTTGTGTTGTCTCCGTTATTTGAACGAAGACAGCCAAGAAGAAACAACAAAAAGATAAAGAACCTTCATGACGCAGAATGACGTTAAAAAGATACAGAACAGGTGCGTTGGAGCGAGATATGTCTACCATAGAAGCGATGCCCGCATAGCTGAAACGTATATCCACCCAGTACCCGCTGGTCACGGCTGGCCGGCCCGGGTTCCGGGCCGACTTCCGGAGAAGTCCACACCGGTACGGTTTCTTTTTAGTTAGGAGCGCATGGTATCAGTTGTGTTCACGTACAGTTAGACGGTGTTACCTCGCAGCAAACGCCTCCTTTCCTGCTCCTTAGCGCATATCGCCGCTAAATCATTTATATACATTCCTTTAAATGACGTGACGGAAAAACGGGGAAAGAAGAACGATGGATTTCTTTAGACGGGTAAGTCTGCGGAGGAGCGAAACTACGCGAAAACAAAGGCGCGAGAAAAATCGGAACGATCGCGATAAGGAGCGATAAGACTAACCGATCGTTTACTCCTTGGCCTTTTTTTTTCTTTGCCATGGAAATAAACTTTATTCCAAAACAGTATTTCATAAACAGTCATAAGATTTCCTCATTGTTAATTTCAAAATCTAAGTATCGATAGTACCATGAACAAAAATTTGATTTTCTACATATACTATACGGTATGTTACTATCATTTCTCTTTTCAATTTTATTGTTTATAATAATTATAATATCCAATGATTCTATAAATCAATAAATAAATATCATCGCACGCTGCATTATCCCAAGAAAAGAAGAATAAGAAGAAAGGAAACAATTTTTGCCGCGCGATTAATCTCCGTCAATATGGACAGCTACAAATTTTCACTTCCTCGTGAAGCTGTCCACGAGAGATCAGCTATATATGCACAGGTTGGTGGGCGTGCGGCAAGTGCAGTCACCACTTCCTGCCACAAATGATCGTCGCGGGCGACCGGGACGATGCTCGAATAACACGTGTACACGCGTACCGTTCGTAACGTGCGTGTGTGCGGGCGTGGACATGAATGAACGCGGAGATGCATCTGCAAAGACAATAGCGTGCCTGTGTACGTGCGAAAGCTGCACTTTACATCACCTACACCAATGTACAGGTTCGCGCATTAACGGCAATCAGTGGACGCCCGGAGGTAACAGCGTGTTACTTCATCGGTGTCGAAATACATTGCACCTAAGACAGCGCAACAAACAATAGATATCTGTGAAAAGCATAGAATAATTAACGTATCAGTTGATAACGGTGAAAAGTTTTTCGTGTCAGAACGAAACAATTACACGAAGAAAGAAATAAAAGGTAGGATATTCGAAATAATTGAATTTCGATGTTTGGACTTTGTAGGTTAGTTCAACAATGGTAACTTCATAATCCAGTTCATAATTTTATCGAGGAAACTAGTTATTCATTCTTCGTTACCAGTTAACTATTAAAATTACAATATGCATCTTCTTTCTACTCAAACTGTGCCACTGCATCTACCCGGTTATTGCTACGGATACGAGAACAATATAAATCCGTTTCTCTGTAACACTTATTCGTACTTACATCCTGCTCTAGTAGAAATATCACTCGCCGTGAAGAAAACATGCCAATTAATTTCTCATAGAACTGTGGATTATTTCACGAATTATATTTCCTTCTGCTGTTCAATCGTGAATCGTAAACATAAACACAGTGTAGGCTTGCATAGTCGCATGCACGTATATACATACGCATGATTACGGATTACCTGCGATTAAGTCCTTCCGAGGACCTCGCTCCCGCGAGTTCTCATACCCCAGTTTTCTGCCAGCAACCGTTCCGTACGAGCACTGATCGCGTTTCTCCGTTGCGAAATTCATACGCGTAGACTTATATTGTGATTCCGTATTTGATAAAAAAAACGATCGAGCAGGTATTCGATCGATTTAAAATACAAAAGTGATTCATAAGGAATCGACGAATCAGTGATCAACTCGCAAGGAATAAAATCTTGATCGAACGACGAAAAATCGATTGTCGAAAATGTCAGAGCTATTGGGAAAGGTCGAAGAGCCGGTGTGTAATTAAAGATACAATACAAATAATGATTTCGCGAGAGAAAGTGTGGAAAGAATATAAGGCGCGAGTTTCATGACTACGTTAACACGGTTTGGATAAAATAATGTTTCAAAAATATAAGACAAAATAAAGTTTATTCTAACACGTCAAAAGAAATGATGGCTAGTACGATTTTACCGCGAGAATTATCAAAATTAAATCGACTTTTTACATTGTCCGTTTCTTACTTTTGTTCGATATCGCGCATGTGAACCACATCGATATCAATTCGATATCACGAACTTTCCATTATAAAAACCTTGAAATTAAACTTTATTGTCAAACTTTTATACCGGTATAAAGGAAAGGAAATTTAAAAGTTTCTCAAAATAAAGAAGAAATTTATTCATCATGAAAGTTATTTATATGATATTTATTAAAAAAAATGTAACTGTCTCCTAAAAGTAAAATTTCGATGATATACTGCAGGACGAGAGAACCTGCCGTTCCGATGACTCTAACGGTGAAATCTTTAAGAATGTTCCGAAGAACAGCAGCACATTTCGTATTTGGAAAATTGAGGTATCGTAAGAAAGAAGCAAAAAATAATTATTCTCTAGTGTAACAAAATATACATAGCTAAATACCTTCTATAATTTTACTTAGCTACGCTACATTGTGAGTTATTAAAAAGCTCAAAGAGTGAAAGTGTGAAATACTAAATATCCTTTTAATATTCGTGCAACAGGGTTTACGAGTCACAGCCATTACAGGAAGTAATATGGGATATTTCCTCTCAGAGTTGGCATACATTATCTACGCGGTGTCGTCAAAAGACGGCCCACTCCCTTATCCTGGAATGCCGGTAACTTCTTATTTATTATTTTCATCTTTTTTTCTTACTTTTGTATAAGATATACAAATATTTGTAGTTTCACTTAAAAGAAAAGAAATATTTAGAATTAAATTAAATTATAAATAAATATATTTTTACGTCATTTAAACAGGTTAAAGAGTTAAAGTCGGCCACAGTAGTCCGTGTAATTCATTTTTGGATTGGATCCTCATGCGACTCTACAATCTCGGGGGCAGCCGCCCTTCGAGCAGCTGAATTGGACTCGCAAGTATCTGCCACGATACTATCGAGGGAGGCTCAAGGACGAGAAAGTTCTAGATTTTTGGCCTATTTCCGTCAACATCTCGTTATCGAAAATTTTCACTTTGAAACACCATCATGCAAATTGCATAGAGTAACTGGCGTAGCAATTCCTATCCTAACGGAACTTGAGAAAGTTCATTGGGACTATTTCAGCTCGCGGGATGTTATTCTTATAGAAATTATATCGCTGTGCGTAGGAAATTGAAAACTTTCTATGATAACGTTAATTTATTGAATATTTACTAGTCATTTTTGTTGTGGTATAATAATAATAATAATAATAATAATAATAATAATAATAATAATAATAATAATAATAATATAATGGTAATGAAACAGGGGTATCGTATTCCTCTGGCTGGGATCATCAGCAGACCCACTGCATAAACGACACGCTGTCACTATATTGGAAATGAGAAAAAAAAATAACGGTCGTATCATCATTGTTGACGATGGATATGAACAGACACTATCTGAAGGAGATAGACGGCTGTTCGCCGGTATTTTAGACCCTTCTATTAGGGCAGTTAAACCTGATCGCCTTTACCGAGTTAATATGCCAAGTCCAGTTAAGTTGTATAGATGCAGCGAACAATCTGGTAAATACAAGGTTGCAGAACTGAAATCTGGACCGATTCTTCGATCAGATCTTACCTCTGAAGCTGTTTATTTAATTGACCGTGGTGAAACTGGTGTTTGGGCTTGGGTTGGGCGTGATGTAAACGCACGAGAAAAGTTAGAAGCAATCCGCAATGCACGCGGGTTCGTAAAAAAAAAAAATTATAGCAACGGTGTATCGGTACAAAGAGCACTTGAAGCTTGTGAACCAATGGAAATGAAGGCTCTCATTAGAGGATGGGAACCAGCGAAAACAAGACCGCTTACTTTGCCACCAAATTTTGACCCTGATTATATGAATGAAAGACCTAAAATGGCTACTGCATGTCAATTAGTAGATGACGGATCTGGTAAAAGAACTCTTTGGAGAGTAACTGATAAGGAAGGAATGATTCAAGTGGATGATAAAGGAATATATTACGCGGAAGCTTGTTACGTAATGTGCTATAAATACGGTCAAGGACGTAGGAGTAGAACAATTGTATGTTAAAAATATAATTTCGATTATTAAATTTTATGATTATTAAATTTCATATGACGTAATATCATAGATTTATTATTGGGAAGGAGTCCATTCTATAAATGCAGATAGAGAAGCTGCTTTAGAAACAGCTTGTCATTTATCAGAAGATACCTCTAGCCAGTTAGTAAAAGCATACCAAGGTAGAGAACCACCTCATCTATTGCAAATTTACGATGGAAAATTAAAAATACTCGCTGGAAGGCATCGTGATTCTCGTAAGAAATAAAATAAATGATAAATGATTTATTACTTGCTTTTTAATTGAATATTCATTAATGAAATGTTTATTTCGTAGCTCCAGAGAAGTATCTTGTTAGAGTTTTTGGGTCTACTCCTTATACATCTAAAGCAGTTGAACGGCCTTTGAGATCCAGTAGCCTCGATTCTAGTGGAGTTTTTATTCTATTTTCTAATCCATCTGTAGTATGGTGCGGCGGCAAAAGTACTGGCGACGCTAGGCAAGCATCTAGACGTCTTGCGCCTAGGAATGCACCTCTAATAACTGAAAATAATGAAGATAACGATTTCTGGACAGAACTCGGAGGTTAAAAACAAAAGATGTTAACTATAATTTCTAACTATTTTTTAAACATAACACTGCACATAATTCTCCATTTATTCAGAACATCTTCTTTTTAAGGTAAAGGAACTTACGGCACAGAAATTATCGATGACGGAGAAGAACTTGAGAAACATTTATACCAATGTTTGACAGATACTGAAATGTTTGTTGGTGAAGAAGTTCTTGGATTTGGTCAGAGCAGTCTACTTCCAGAAGCTGTTTGGTTATTAGATGCTGGAAATGTAATATGGATTTGGATTGGAAGGTCTTCTGCTTCTAAATCGTTAAAAGAATGTGTACATGATGGAATGATATTTTTGTTCACTCATCCAGCTGGTCGAGATCGAAATACAACAATTTCTATAATTAAACAAGGTATTATAAATTATTTACTTACAAAAAAAAAAAAGAAACTTTTGTTTATAAAAGAGATAATATCTTTCTTTTAGGGATGGAACCATCAACATTTATTGGACTCTTTGATAACTGGAATTATAATTTATTAAGAGAATACAAATCATTTGAAACATTTTGCATGCTTTTGCAAGATAAAGAATTATTACCGAAAATACAAACATTATCTAAATCATCGAGCAACTTCGATAATTATATGAAGTTTCCTCTTTCTGTTTTAAAAGGTGACCCAGAAAATTTACCATCTGGTGTTGATGTTGTTCATAAAGAAATGCATCTTACTTTTGATAATTTCATTGCAATTTTTAAAATGGAACCAGAAGAATTCGCAAAACTTCCTGCTTGGAAAAGGCAAAGACTAAAACAATCAGCAGGACTTTTTTAAAACTTTGTGCTTTAATAATACAGTTTTGTATCATAGTTATTACAGCATCAAAATAAAATAAAAAATTCATAAATTTAAGTATTATTATTAAGGCTTTATTTATTAAAAATTCACATATACATCCAAGTTAATCAATTTAGAACTGTTTAATATATATTTTAAGATGAAGTATCCATTGGCTCTGCTCTGATTTGACGTACAGTTTCCCCTTCAACGATTATAGGATGAATCGTTTTATTAAGTACAGCGGTAGTACCACGTTTATATCGGTACGATACATTACGCTGCCCTTTAACATTAGCAACATCATAAGGACGCAAATAATCAACAGAACCCTTACGTATGACACATAAATCTACATTAGAACCAGAAGCCAAATCATTGAATACACCAGCGCGTATGGCATCTGCCACTAATAACTTAGCTTCCTCTTCCTGCAAATATTCTTAAATGAAATGAGTTCACGCAATACAAATATAATTCAATATATAAAAATGTGATATACTTACTGTCATATTAGCTTTCCATCTACTTTCAAATAAAGCCATTGCAGCTAATGATCCTGTACCCATACTGGTATACATGTAATTATCTGAAGATCCATGAGGATAGATACTGAATAAATGTGGACCATCTAAATCAACACCACCTAATATTAAAGCAGCTCCAATATGACCTTGATAACGGAACAATAATTGCTTGATCATAGCATTTGCAGTACAAACTGGTACCAGGCGATTAGTATTTAAACGATGTAATTCCAGCTGACTAGATATCATCTGAGTTGTCATTTCAGTATCAGCAGCAGTTCCAGCTCCACAACAACTTGAAAATAATTGTTAAATTGCTCTATTATTATTAAACTACAGTATTAATTAATATCACATGACTGTAATAAATTAAATTATTCGTATGATATTCATTAAAAATGAACTCACTATATATTTTCAGCAAGATAATGAATCTTACTGCAATTTTTGTCAGCAACTATAGTATTTTCTGTCGATCTTGTATCACCACCAAGTACAATTCCATCTTTATATACAATTCCAGCAATTGTTGTCCCTGTTTTAACAGCTTTAGGTGCTTGAAATCCTTTTTGTACCAGAAAATTGTTTCTAAAAAGAATTTATGTACAAATGAATTCTACAACTATTTATATAATTCATAAAACTTATAAGAAAAGATACAAAAAAAGTTTTTAAAAAATGACACAGCAATATTAATTCATAATAGGTTATGACTCATAAATCATACATTTTACTTTTATAATACTATCAGTTATTAATACAAATGTGTTTTTATTAATATAATTTTGAAACAATAAATTACCGTTTACAAAGATCGAAAGAAAATCCAGGCGCAGGAATTTCAGGTATCAGTATCGAAGACATGATTAGACTTCTAACTCCATCAAAACGAACACACTAATGAAAAGCAATTTCGTGATTGCTAATATGTACCGATAGATGGCAGTTTTGAAGAAAACCAATATATATATATATGTATATAGAAATACAAATTTATTATTTTACATACAATTAAATCAGACAAATAATTATAAATATAATTGAACACATACTACATTTATGAAGAGTTAAATAATAAAATATTCATGAAATAACATTTGAAACAAAAATGTTTGTCAATTGATTGTACACAATGTATAAGGCATTCGATGCGTTCATTGTAATTTTAAAAATGATATAAAACATGCTATAATTTACAATCTAATCCAAAGTATTTTTCACAAATTATTAACAAAATGCAATATGCTTTTTAACCTTTTCAAAATATAATATAAAATTTAATAAATCATGAAAGTTTATTTAAATAATATCTATAAACAAGTTGTATCATTAATGATTTCTGCCATCATATTTTTGTATTGCAAAGCTGCATCTAATTCTTCTTGATCCCATTCTAAATTTATTTTTGACAAACGAGGTTCCTTTTTCCTCGTTAATTTTAGAATACCTCTAGTTTCTATTAATGAGCACAAACTGTAAAATTCAGAACCATCGACAGCATGAATATTCCGCTTTTTGCAAACTTTTTTATACACTTCATGCAACTAAAACATGATTATAATGATAAATATTACAATTTTTTACCAATTACTTATATTATAGCAAACTTACTCTTCCCACTGTCACATCTTTATTCCGCCCTTTATTTAGAATGAGTAATAAGGAACACAATAACAACTTCTGTTGTAAAGGAAATGTACTTTCTTCTTTTTCAATATTCTGAGACCCACCATAAACACCATTTAATACAGTGATAACTTCCTTTAAATCTACTGCCTGATCCATTGTACATTGCTGTTTTTTAGGCATGTTCATTTCTAAAAAGAAAATTAATCTTTGTAAACAATAGCAATTTACTTCCTTACTTTTATTTTACTTCTATAATATATAACACAAACCATTACTGTTAGTTGGTTGTAAAATTTGTGCTATCTTTTGAGACTCAGCAAGCTCTATTACCCTTCTACTAATATCCAATGCTCTTCTGATATCACCAGAAACAGCAGCAACTTTCCCAGATAACATTTGTATTGCAGTTCCAGTAAACAAGTCAGATACATTTGCTTCATTTAATCTATCAGATATTATATTACATATTTGTTGTTTTGTATATGGTGAAAAATGCATCAATTTTGGTTTCAATTCACATCTAGCTTGTAATCTAGGTAATATCCTATCTGTTAAATCCAAAGCATTAGCAATGCCAACTAAAATGAGTTTTGAATTATGTATTGATGGCCATTCAAATACAGAATATAAGACAGATTGCTTTTTACTTTCTAACTGATCTATTTCATCTAAAATCAACAATATCATTTTGTGATTCGAAATTAAATATTTTTCAATAACTGCTTTACTATTTTTTGCTGATTTTGATACAGATAAACCTAATTCTTGAATAATTTTTGCATAAATTGTAGCAGCAGATTTCATAGTAGTACAGTTAACGTAAACTATTTTAAATTTTGATTCGAATTCAGTTCTTAATATAAGTTTTGAAAGACATGCTGTTTTTCCAGTTCCAGGTGGTCCTGATACATATAAAGAACCTGATGTTTCATTCTTTAAATGTTCTTCCATAAATTGTTGTAACCTTTGTAATTCGTTTTCTCTGCCGGGTAAACTTTCAGGTACTGAGCCATGTAAAGCTTTACGAGCATTACGGTACCTTTCTGATCCAAATAATCTTTTGGGAGCCAGTTTTTCCTCTTTATCAGGAGATGATAATAAATTCAATTTACCAAACAAGGTAGAGGGTGTAGATGAAGATGTTAATAAAACTGACTTATCTATTTTCCTCTGTTTTGGGGGTGTAGAACCATGTGCCTCTAAAAATGATATACAAATGTCATTTAGAACGTTATAAAACATATAACTACTAGACACATTTAAAATTCATTTACATACCATCAGATTCATTTGTCTTTGGCATACATTTAGGAGTTTGTATATTTACAGTATTGGCATGAATTTTTATATTATTTTCTACATCTGAATCTGAATCTGATTCACTACTACTTAAGGTAATAATTTTCTTCACAGTTGGTGTATATTTATAGGAAGAATCTCTTGCAGTTGCATTAGTAAAATCTTCTTTCATTACCTTATGTTTAGTTCCATAAAATGAACTTTTTTTCCGTACATTAAACGGTATCGCCGTTTGAATACTCATCTTTAAATACTAAAAGTACTAACATACACAATTTTCACAAAAAATTTATTTTTTCTTTAGGAATAAAGTACCTAATGTAAATTTATTGACATTTTTCTCTTGTTACTTCTTACTTTACGACGTCCTTTTAGAGAAGGAAAAAAATTACATTACAATTTTTCTAGAACTTCAGTTAAACTTCACATTCATTAATAATGTTTTATTAATCTTAATTTATAAAATTAATTTTTTAAGTAATTACTTATATTGCGTGACTCATAAAAAATTTTCAAGTATCGTACAGTAAATGTCATAGCCTCAAGTTTTCCGCGGGAACATGCTTTAAACGCGGGAAAGCAAAGCATGTAAAAAACGAAATGAGTGAACACAATTTCCCGCGCAAAAACAAATATCTCTCAGACAGATAAAATATTAATTTAACATAATATATAACAAAAAATATTATATTAACATATATCGTAAATTTTACTCATTTACTTAATTAAGATATTAATACTATTACATAAATATTACAAATTATTTTCTTTCACATAGTATACCTAAAACACGTGTATTTAAGATATCTTAGCCCTCTACAGGTAAATATAGAAACTAAAGAATACAATGTTTCCATGAGTAATAGAGGCGAGCGTTTCCCTTCCATATTGGTATTAAAACGTGAAAGAAGTAAAAGGTTGAAATTGTGCAAACATCGAAAGATTATAAACTAATCTAAAACTTTCATAACAAGAAAATGAGAGCAAAGGTAAGATAATATCAGTGTTTTTTATTTATTTCAATATTTTCTTTAATAAATTGGTTATTACATATCTTTTAAATCTTAAAATATACATTTTTACGATTGTTACTGCACTACATATATAATTACTTAAAATGTTTACTAACTACAATATTCGCATGGTAACAAAACATGAATCAAATAATAGAAAAATATTAACATGTGCAAAAGTAAATAGAAAATTTACAATTTTTAGTGGCGTAAAAAGAGAATGCGTAGGCTAAAACGCAAAAGGAGGAAGATGCGTGCGAGGTCTAAATAAATTTTGCATCAATAATTTCTGTAAGTATATTATGATACAATTTTTGCAAGTATTAAAGCAATGATTTTATATGATTAATAAACACGTACCACAAAAGATTTATTTGAAAAAATGTAATAAATTTGCATTCATGTTTATGGTTTCATATGTAATTAAATAATTCTCAAATAAAGAAAGTTGTGTAAATATAGTCGTTAAGTTTGTAAATATTTCTGTTTCAGCTGCAAGAGTTACATTATTAAAAAGACCAACTTCGATGTATTGTACTAATTTCAATTATTAATACAATTAACTTTCCCATGCAGAGATTTCATTTTATTACCGAATGTATCTTGTACAATTTAATAAAATGATTGTTTAAATTAATCAAAGCAGTTTTCTAATTTTTTTAATATACAGTTCGAGAAACATATTTTCACACTCGAGTTGGTAGTCGTTGAAAACAACAGTAATATTCATTTAGTCGTACGTAACCTTATTGAACACGTGCAGAAGAACATGCGTAGTTTAATATCAAGTTTGTTACAAACAAGAAGATTGTTTTATGAATATTGTAAACCTTGTACAAATAATGTAGTAACATATTTTCAATTAAGAAAAATTACAGAATTTTCAAATAATTGTCAAAAACATTTCACTAATGACAAAAATATAGAAAACCAATCACATAACCTTTTCGACTCAGTTACTGGCACTCATAAAGCTTTTGAAGATAAAGATGCAGAAATTATTTTTGATATCCATGAAAAAGAAGAAGCAATTAATTTGGAAGATTTGAGAATTAATGAGGAACATTATGATCCTTATGAAGGAATAAATTTAGAACGTAAGTGAAATAGAATCTTACTTATGTATTATTGTGCAAACTTTTTGATATTTAAGGATAATTTTAGTTTTGTATTTCTTTTTTCTCCTTTTTTATGGAACATATTAATGAAATTTCGTATTAGGTGGCATAAATGGTGTATTTGAAATAGAGGAACTTGTATTGTTGCTACAAAAAGATAATGCCAAAGATATCTTCGTAGCTTCAGTGCCTTCTGAAATGTCATATGTTGACTACATAGTTGTAGTCACAGGTAAATCTTATAAGCATATGACAACACTTGCTTTTTTCATCCGTAAAATATATAAATTAAAAAAACACAAAACAGATATGTCACTAAGAATTGATGGGGAGAAGTCAAAAGATTGGATAGCTTTAGATTTAGGTATGTTTTTTATTATGTTTAAGGAAGTTTTTTATAGTTTTAAAATTATTAGATTAATATATATTTTGCTTTTTCTTAGGGAATATTGTTTTGCATATTTTTTCACATTCTGCGAGATTGTTTTATGATTTAGAAACATTATGGTCAGTTGGTCCTGATTATGATGATAAATGTAAAAGTACTACTGAAGATATTATGGAACAATATAATACATTTTTGTCTGATTTAGAACCAATTGAGAATAATAGCAAGAATGAAAATAGTAAAATGTGTGAAAATCGCCAATTACAAAAGTTTTGTAAATGATTATTAAGATGTTATTTGTATTAATTTATAAATTTCATATAAGAAAAAATAAAAGTTTTAAATTTAATTATCACAAAATAATTTTTTAACGCACATGTGATTAATGTCACTTGCGTAAAGTATTTTTGCCCCTCTCCCCCATCCCACTTCACCCATTATTTCCCTCATCAAGTTCTATGATTATGCTTTCTGAAGTAATTCGCCACTGAATAAGCGTCCATGTCTAAAGATATTTTATCGCAGCCAACTACATAGAATCTTATCAAGTTATCAATTTTATTTCATACGCTGACTAATAATTCCAATATATACATATTTCTATGTGCGTAAAACGATTTTGTGTTAATATATATAATTTTAACCCTGTTCTTTCAATAAAACGCGATTGGAATTCAAATATACAACTTGTTTTATTTTGCCAAGTATTATCGACTTTTCATTATCACTTGCAGTAAATAATATAAAATATCATTTTTATAGTAACATCGAATAATCTAATTCTCCATTAAAAGATTTATGTATTTAAATTCAAGGTAAGAACTATTCTTCTATATATATGAAAATACAATTAATTTTCAACAGTATTTAAGTAAATATATAAATATTTAATAAGTATTTAAATTCCTTTATTAAATATTTTTTATTAAAATTTATCGTCTCTATTTGTATATTATTAGTTATTGAAAATGTCGAAATGTTAAAATATATTTCAATATGTACTTTTTTATTATGTTTCTTATTTTGTCATAAAACTTTTTATTTCAGATGATAATCATACAAATACTTTAAGATATTTAACCAATATTATCAAGGAAAATATATAAAAGGAAGAAAAATATGAACATACATAATAGATAGAAAAAATTTATTTGATCTCAGAAAATGGCAAACAATTTAGATTCAGTTTGTAAAAAGAAGTCTACATGTTTTCTACAAATCCCTTTGAAGTCAACTGAACAAATTTATTTAATCTTTTTAATTCCAACATTGATTATCAGTATAATATATATAATTCATTTTTCTGCTGATTTAGTAGTTGCTATACAACATTTCAAAGAAAATAATATTGTTTGGGGTTGTTGTACTATTAGTTTCATGTATGCACCTGCAATTATGTATTTTATATTAACTATTTCAAGACCAGATTGGTGGATGTCAAATGATGATAAATTAACAAAAGGTTTTTTTTGTTGGTCTTGTCTTCAATTTTGTCAACTGGTGGGCTTTGTTTTTTTTTCTCTTTATAGGTATTAATATTTTCCATATAAAATTAATAACGATGCTAATGATTCTCATTAATATAATTTTTAATTTTTTTTTAGATTTGCTGGTCTCATAGTATTATGTATTGAAGCTATAATATTAACTGGGAAAGAGAGAACAAAGACTTTAAACATAGCAGCTGCTCCTGCAGCTATAGAATTATATTTTTTTTTACAAGCATGGTTTCAAGCAGCTCCACAAGCTATTTTTCAAGCACATTTACTTTTTCGTCAATCATCATTTCAGCAAAGTCATCAATCTGGTATTTTAATTTATCATTTTATATGTAATGATTTAATCCTAATTTAATCATAAATATGAAACTATTAATATTATCTTTATAGCAGTTGTAAAGGTGCTTTCTATTACTATGTCAATTGTGATACTTGCTATTCAAACTACCTCTTTTCAAAGATTTGAGAGTCAACGTATTAATGGAAGGAAATTACCATGGGCAATGTGGTTCAAAAAATATTGTGTTCAGGTATTTTAATATATGATATTATGTGATTATAATATGTTAAGTGCATATAATATGTTTAAATAATTCATCCTTCTAAAATACTTATTTAATTTTTATAATTAGGAACTTCATGATTTTGAAGTAAGAACTCCTTTAAAGCTGCCTAATATAAATAGCATTAATGCCACAGAGGATGCTCTAGAACAAAAAGAATCTATAAAAGATCATGAAGAAGATAAGGAACAATGTGACAACTCGCACATTTCTTTAGATCGTCAAGTATCTGTAACACCTCCTTTACCACCTAAAAATGCACATATTACCCCACCTCCAACTCCTTTGCGTGGGATTACTACAGTTACACCTTTGCCTATACCCGATATACCAGCTCCACCAAGACCAGACTCTATTTGTAGAGTTCCAGAAACTTCAGAATCTGAGAAATTATTTGCTAAATCAGTATCTATTGCAGAAGTACAGAAAAACACCAAGACCATACAAAATTTAAAAATTCCACAACGAAGATATTCAACAAAAGGTTTAGAAGAAGATGATCCTATGGGAAAATTTTTGAGTTTCTTATGGTGGTTCTTTTTCATTTTAGCACGTATACTTACTATTGCAGTAGTCTATGAGTTTTATCCTATTTACTTATCCATTGTGCTTAGTATACATTATGGTATTATGTTAATATACCTTTTTTATTATACAAGATATTATGATATTATTGCTTTTTTTCTTAATTTATGGCTAGGATTAGTATATATTGTTAGTTTAATTGAATATAGAATTAAATTTAAATATGCAGATAAATGGATATTACCGTATTATATTTTTGTACTAATACAAAATACATTTTTAACATTATCTTGGTACTTTTATACAGATTGGGATGGATTTTGGTATACTTATGTATTTTATGTAATTTTTGGAAGTATGATGCTATGTATTTTATCAACTATAATTTATTGTGCTTTACTTAAACCAAAAAAATGTAGGATATACACCAGCTGACAAATGCATAAAACTGTTTTATGATAAATTATTCATTGAAATGTGATTTTACAAATGCTTTAATTTCCATATATTGTATGAACATGGTTTTGTTTCATATTTATATGAATTGCTTTACATAAAAAATAGGTATATCAGGAGACTATTATTTATAAACAGGTCAGTAACATAATTGGTACAATTAAAGTTTATAATTACAATTTTTAAATGTAAAAAGAGAAACTGAGGACTGATATTGGTCATTATACAATGCGTTAAAAATGTATTTATCATACATTACTATAAATTGCAGGTAGCTATGTTTATGAAACATTTATACAAAAATGATCCGTCTAAAAAACTTTTACAAATAGTTACTAAATACGGCAGCATTTTCTTTTATCTACCAGTTTTAAACTTGTATTATAATTTTATATTTACTCTACATATTTATATACAGAAGTAAATATAGATACTTATGTGAATACTTATAAGTATTAAAATATGTGTATTTTTTAATCTGTGTTTTCATCTTTGAAGACTTTGTATATTAAATTTAAATACTTATTGTTTTGTTAGAATCATATTATTTTCACAATATTTGTGATCTAAAATAAAAAATATCTTTGTAAAATAGATCACATTTTATATCTGATTGCTTAGACTTCGCAGAAAACCACTTTGAAATTATTTAATATCAATGTGGTATAATAAGCTAATCTTAAGAAACAAATATTAATAAATTTAATTTGATAAAAAATATATGCTCCCTTATACATCCATTCATTTATATTCACATTATCTACTTACACACATTCCTTAGTCTATAATGTTTTTCTCATACATGTATATTAGAGTCTCTATGAAGATTTCCTAATTGTGCTTCAAATAAAATATCATTTAATAATTTTTCAGCTATAATTCTTTGGTCTAATCTCATATTTCTGAGTTTTGCTGCAACATTTCGTCCAATTGCATCAAATTCATCTTCCATTACAAATGAATTATTATGTGATATTTTTAAGAGATCAGAACATTCAGCTTCTTCTAACTTACGTCTACGAATTAATGGAGTATCAGACCACTCATTGGACTGATCATAAGATTCTTCATTTCCTGGTTGCCATTCATCCTAGAGAAATGTAATTTTTTTAATTTTTATGAAATCTTAATTTTTTATATAAAAATAAAATTATAAACAATATACCTACTGTCTTGTAACATTTTCTATATCCCCTTTTTGTTCTTACTATTTCTGGACATTTATCAGCTGATAAATCAATATATATCATTGCTGGTTTCCTTTGATTAGATTTACATTTAATTTTATCAACCATAAAAGGATGTACTCTCTGTAGAACGCTTAGATTAATAAATATAAAATAATTAAATCAAAATTTAAATAGTCTAAAAGTAAGCAAATCTTACTTTAATATGACTTAAAAAATTTCCAGTTGATTTTAAATTTCCATTCAAATGTTTCTGACATTGTAAACATCGAACTGTTACATTACTATCTTCTACTCTAATTACTGTAAAGAATTCTCCATCAAGTATGGCTGGTAATCGAATTGGAGTAAGAGTCATGCTTTGTTGAGTATTGGATTGTATCTGTGAGATTTCATTAGGTTGATCTTGTTGATGTTGTTCTGGCTCATGTTGTTGTTGATGTAAGCTTGAAGTTTCATGATTTTCTTGATTCTCTACTTCAACTGTTTCAGAAGATGCCTGTCCACTAACTGTTTCAGATATTTCTCGTTGTTGATTTGCAGCATCAATCATGCATGTGTCAAAACTTTCAGTTTTTGTTCCATACCTTTGTGTAGGAAATGTATCCATGATCTTATAATGCATGCAAAATTTACTCTAATAGAAGAGTGCGTTAAATAAGAAGGTGAACAGTTTAAATAAATTATACATGTATAACTCTTTAAATACCTGAAAAAAAATAAAGGACCATAATTTTTACTGACAGTGAAGCAAAATACTATTATTTATCTTGCTTTCTTATTGAATTTCAGATAAGCTCTTAGATAAGAATATTATAAGCATTATAAATCTAGATCAGATAATAGATGACAGATTGAAGAATATACAATCTAAAGAAAATACAGTATCTACTTACCAACCTCAGAAAATAAAGCTATATTGATACAATGTATAAATTTCTTGTCGCAGAATATAAAATATTCTTATAATGACGAAATCTATGACACATTTCTTGAAGTATTATAGATATTTTGTCTGCTTAAATCTAATAAAGTATGTCGTTTTAGAAACTATGACGAGGTATGCAAACGTAAGAACAAATACTTGGCAACACTGGTATAAATAAAGGTATCAATAAAATTTTATCATAATTTAAATAAATTTGCGTACGTGAATAATAAATTTTTGTTTTTTATTTTACTTAATAACATATTTAAAAAAAGTAATATTATATACTTATGATATATATTTATAAAGAAGGAAAAACTAAATTATTGTAGAAAAGGAAATAATAAAAATAGTTTAATAGATATTATTTAATATAATTATTTACAGTAGCACTTTATATATTTCAATGTTTAGTTAAAAGAAAAATAAATATTTTAAGTTCATACTTAATCATAAAAGTATGATTTCTTCTTTAAACATATTAAAGTTTATATATATTTTTTATATGTTTATTATTAATAAATTTTATATATTATATTATCAAATGTACATGCTTTGTCGGTAAGGAAAACATTCAATTAACCTTCAAAAATTGCAGGGTATTTTTGTAAAACACGAATAACGTTGTCAGCATTGATAATATCGATTTATTGTATTGGAAATAAAACGTTGAAGGATTGCAAGTTCTGTAAATACATGTTGAGTGTACTTGTTTTCTCATGAACATATTTGATAGTCATTATTAATTTATAATAATTTGTTAATAATGAGACATATAATATAGTATTTATTAAAATACGAAGTATCTATTGAAGATAGAAGGATAGAATACAATAGAATTTAACAATTTGACAAGATTTCTTTTACACGAATATATCTACACCCTGTTCTACAGAAATGAATTATTCTCATGATCTACCACAATCTAGAAAAAGAAAATTGGATATAGAAGAAAATGTATGTAAAGTTATCAGAATTTCTGAAATATTTTGTTTCTTTAATAAATATTTTTATTTTATTTGTATATCATAGGTTAATAATATATCATTGGATTTAACTGGCAGTAGCAACAAGCAAGCAAGAACATCAAATAAAGATGTATACAGTGATAACGCATTATTAGTTGTAAAACATTACAATTCAATAGAAAATAAAGATACTACTCTTAGGAGTAAAAGCAGAATTTTATATATGAGAAATTTTAATAACTGGATTAAAAGCATGCTTATGAGTAAGATTTTAATTTATTAAATCATAATGTGTTTACAAGAAATTGTGATTAGAATTTATTTACAGAGTTATATAGGAATGATACTTATGGATCACATGCAAATGTATTAGATATGTGTTGTGGTAAAGGAGGTGATTTATTTAAATGGAAAAATATGAATATAAGACATTTAATTTGTGCTGATTTGGCTGAAGTGACAATGCAACATTGTGAACATCGATATAAAAATATGTTGCAACGAATTTCTGAATATGAAAGACATTCTCGTATATTTACTGCTGAATTTATAATAGCTGACTGTACAAAGGTATTCAGTTTTATTCTTTTATAAGTTGTGTGAGAACGATTAGAAAATAAGGTGTCAAAATGTAATTGTTTTTCTGAAATATGTATTATTAAATTATTACTGTATATCTTGTCATTGAAAATCAGTAATAAGGAATAATTTTAGGTTCGTTTAAAAGAAAAGTTTAAAGATCCTAATATAAAACTTGACTTGGTTAGTTGTCAATTTGCATTTCATTATTGTTTTGAATCATTGGAACAAGCAGAATGTATGATTAAAAATGCAAGTGAATGTTTAAAACCAGGAGGTTATTTTATTGGAACTATTCCAGATGCATATGATTTAGTGTATGTTCATATTTTAAATATTGATAAATACATTTTTCATTTAAACTTGTATAAAAATGATTAAACAAATTTTTTAAATCAGTTCTAGGTGGCAAAAATGTGATGGTGACAGTTTCGGAAACGAGATTTATAATGTAAACTTTTGTTGTGATAAAGCAAAACCTCCACTTTTTGGAGCTAAATATCACTTTCAATTAGAAGGTGTTGTCAATTGTCCTGAATTTCTTGTTTATTTACCTGTATTTTGTAAATTAGCTTTAAAATTTGGTTTGAAGCTAATACTGTTTGAAAGGTAAGAAAAGTTCAACAATTATATTTACATTATTTTTATTGTATTTAATTATGTGAAAAGTGAAAATTTTGTAATACTTAATTACAGGTTTGGTAACTTTTATAAACGTATGAAGGACAGAGGTGAATTATTACTTAAAAAAATAGAAGCTTTGGAATCTTATTCACCACACTCTAATGTTCCACTTGTTGGTAAAGCTGATCAAGATTATCAACATGTTAAAGAATATATAAAAAAATCACCAAATTGTCCTGAAATTGGTACATTATCTCAGCCAGAATGGGAAGTTACTTGTTAGTATAAAATTAATTTATATGTTTTGATAACTAAACTTTTCCACTAATTTTATTATAATAATATTAATTCTATTTTAGCATTATATGCTGTATTTGCTTTTCAAAAAATGGAAACTTAATGAAGTAATAAAACTCAATGAAGCAAATCAAGATACATAAAACTACAAAAATTATAAACTATATAATGTTAATTTTGTAGCATAAAATTGACCATTGATTTTACATTATACAAACTAGTCTGTTACTATAGAAATAGATATGTATGTTACTATAGTATACAGTTGTTCTTTGATATCGTACATAATTTGTTCTACATAATTTTACAATGGTATTTTGCATAATTTATGTACATTATACTTTCATGGATTTCATTAAATAATCTAATATCATCAATTAAATTATGATTAAAAAGTCTACAATTTTTTTTACCCACTAACTATATTTTATTAAAAAAAAAAATAAAAATTTTAGAATAAAATAAAACTTGTTAAGCTTTGTAAGAAATTACCTTATTACAGTTATAAATACAGGATATATTTTTTTATAAAAACTGTAAACAAAAACAAAATAGCAAAATTAAATATAAAATGTTTAATACTTTAGAAACCTTTGAGACTATGTAACACATAAACTGAAATTTTTTTTTCAAATTAGTTTGTTTGAATCAATAAGATAAAATAGTGATAATAAATAGATAAATATTTTAATACGTTTTCTATGCACATGTCATAACTTTCGATATTCGACTTTATGCACGAATGTCATCACTTATAATTGAAGTTTGTGACAACAGGTGAACAAAAATTAGATATATCTCTTCAAAATTAATGCGATTTTCATCGATGAAAAAACACAATTCATACATTAGCAAATATTTTCATGTGCCTTATTCGTAAGATTGTAAACGTTACATTTATAACCAACGTTGTTCAAACGAAATATGACTGAATAGGACAGATACGGACTGCGGGGTAAAGGGTTATATTGGAGATCGAAGAGGCGGAGCAAAGAAGCGCATGCGCAGTTAGATATTTTTGATACTTAGACTGGGTCTCCTATATGATCTAAACGGAGGCACGGCTGCAGTCTCGCGCGAAGTGTATAGTCGAATAACGACTGACTGGTGTGTGTGCCCCCAGTCCTCTTTACTTCTCTCGCTTCTGTTAGCCCTTGCGTTGCCAGAGTCTATCAGTCGCGTTTGTATGAGAAATGGAGCTCGAGCAACCAACAACGCAGTCGAATTCCGACTCAGTAAGTGACTATTTAGTATCTGCTTGTTTTGCTGCGTTTACCTACGTGTACAATTTTTTAGTATTTTGTCTTGTATCGTGGCTTTTCTCTTGTACGTACGGTATAGTTGCGGACGCGAAATTTTTCTAAGTCCCAAAATGGCGTCTGCGACTAAGTCCTACCTGGCTCGCTTCGCACCGCCAGACGTTAAGTCCAATAGAAGAGTGGATAGTTATATACCATGTTACGATCTTATTAAGATGATACTTTGATATGAATTTTGTTGTTTTAGGAAAAAAAGATCAAGGAAAACAGCAATGTGACTGGGAATCATAGTGGTAAGCAGTTTGATCGTGCAGTTTAACGTACGCACTCTGACATAGCTGAAATCGAAACTTTACAGCAGCAAATGTTAAGTTCGACGCGACGACCAAAGAGTTGAGGCTGCCAACGACCCGACCGGTCTGACACGTGTTTCGACTCTGACGAAGCGTCCGAACTACTTACAACTTCCTGCAATTCAAATTTAGTTTCCTTTTTTGAATTGGCACTTGTTTGTAGTCTATATTACGGGAATTTTTAATTTTCGTTTTTTTATGTACAAATTATAAAATGTTTCTTAATTGAGATATTCTAAAAAAAATTATAGAATAAATTAACATTTCACATTTAAGTAAATGTGTTGAAATATAATTACAATAAATTTAATTTAAAAATTAAGTAAGATTTTTTTAATGTCTTAGTAATTATATAGTTTTATTTAAATAATTAGTAACATAAAATAATTTATTTTTTTTTAATAAGAATACTTCGAAATATTTGCGTGCATTCGTTCGTGCGTATGTAGTGTGAATGTGCACACACACACGTATATATACATACATACGTGCGTTTGCACGCGTGCGCGTCATGTAAACATAATATGTGCATATTATGTATATGGGCGCGCGCAAGCGTGTATATATTTCTTTGTGATAATAATAATATATATATTTAGATGCTCATATAAATGGTATGTCAAATGGATTTGATAAAAAGAGGGAACACAAATCCGAACATAGGGATAAAGACAAGGAACGTTCTCATAAATCAGATCATAAGGACAAAGAGAGAAGCAAAGAGAAAGAAAGAAACCATAAAAGTGAGCACAGGGATAAGGAAAAAGACAGACATAAACATAGTTCCAGTTCTATTAGAGAAAAGGATAAGCATGATAGTAGCAATAGTGCTAAAGATAAAGACAAGGATAGAAAAAGTAGCTCATCATCGAGCAAGGATAAAGAACATAAAAGTACCAGTTCCTCAAGCAAAGATAAAGAAAAGGATAAAAGCAAGGATAAAGAACATCATCATAAATCTAGTTCTAGTTCTAGTTCTAAGGATAAAGACAGGTATAATTTTATATAATTTTATACTTTGTTATACTTTTATATTTGTATTAAAAAAATTATGTTATAGGCATCATAGTAGTTCCAAGGATAAAGAAAGCAAAGAGAAAGACAAAGATAAAAGCAAGGACAAGGACAAATATAAGCATAGTTTAAGTTCAAGTTCTAGGGACAAAGATAAAAGTATTTCTAAAGACAAAGATAAAGAAAGAAAACATTCATTGGAGAAGGACAAGGAAAGACATTCCACATCTCATTCAAATGACAAAGAAAAACATCGTTCTTCTGAAAAAGACAAAGACAAACATAGTTTGTCAAATAAAGATAAACATCGTCATGATAAAGAAAAAGATCGACATCGTCATGACAAAGAAAAATGTATGACATGATTTTCTAATCTGTAGTGAAATTATAAATTTTATTTTAATTTTATTTGATTTATAGCTAAACACAGAGAAGATAAAGATAAGAAGGACAAGGAAAAGGAAGAAATTAAGGTAAAAGAGGAAATACTTGATATAAAACCAAATCACATAGGAAATGAAGAATTTCAATATGATGTTGGTCAAACCCTGAAGCATGAAGTAAAAGAAGTATATATTCCTTTATATTCTTTTTTTAACAGTGAAACAAATGAATCCCAGTAATAAAATAAATATAAAATAATAAATTTTATTAATAGGAACCTGTATCACAAATTGAGCCAGAAGATGATGATGACAGTGGCGGGGAACAACCATTATATATTAAAGAAGATGAAGATGAAGAGGAACCTGTTAATGAAGAAGAAGGTAGTATGGATTCAACTGATGGAAATGATACAAGACTTTCAGATCTTCATAATACAACTATTAAAACTGAGGAAGAATCAGATGAAGATATGCCATTAGTATGTGAAATTTACATTAAACTTTTATTTAAATTATATCGCATTTTAAAATAAAAACTTGATGTAATATAACAATTATACAGAGTGCAAGATCTATGGCTCCCACAAGTATTAAAAGAAGTATAGACTCAGAGGAAGAGGAGGATGTTCCACTCTCAGCACGTAAAAAATCTAAGAAGAATGATACAAAAATAAAGAAAAAGAAACGAAAATACGAAGATGACGAGGATGAAGATGAAATTGAACAAGTAATTCATTTTTCTACATATGATGGTATAATAATATTATGAAATTATTTAATTTTAAGTAAAAATTTTACAGAAACCAAAGAAAAAAGGTGCAAGGACATCAAAGGGTGAAAATTCAAGTCCAAGAAAGAAGAAACAAGAAGAAGAACAAGAAGTTTGGAAATGGTAAAATCTTTTAATATTTGAAAATCCCGCTAAAATCTACTGTATGTGTAGATAAGGTTATGTTATTTAACCTCATTTTATAAGTTCATTTTTTAAATTAAGGATAGTAAAATATGATATAAATGATATAAATATTATTAAAATTAATTATGTTTAATTTCATTAAGAATATCAGAATAATATCTTCAACATTTTTACATTGTACTTTTAGATGTAAATATTGTACTAAATTTGGAGAGTTTAAATATGTGTCTGCTTTGAGGTTAAGTGTTTCTATAACTTTTTTTATCGTAATATGTTCCATTGCAATTAATATAACAAAAATGAAAAAAAGAAAATACACAATAGAAATAAGTAAAAATATTGTTACAGGTGGGAAGAAGAAAAAAAAAGTGATGGAACAAAATGGACATTTTTAGAACATAAAGGGCCAGTATTTGCACCTGCATATGAACCACTTCCACCTGATGTAAATTTTTACTATAATGGTAAAGAAATGAAATTAAGTCAAGATGCAGAGGAAGTTGCAACATTTTATGCACGCATGTTAGATCACGATTATACTACAAAACCTGCATTTAATAGTAACTTTTTTCATGATTGGAGAGAAGTAATGACTGAATCAGAGAGGACTAAAATAGTTGACTTAAGTAAGTGCAATTTTAAAGAAATGCATGCATATTTTGTTCAAAAAAGTGAAGAGCGAAAAGCAATGACAAAAGAAGAGAAGCAAAAAATAAAAGAAAAGAATGAAGAAATCCAAAAAGAATATGGTTTTTGTACTATTGATGGACATAAAGAAAAAATAGGTAATTTCAAAATTGAACCTCCTGGTTTATTTAGAGGGCGGGGTGAACATCCTAAAATGGGCAAATTGAAAAGAAGAGTTATGCCTGAAGATATTCTTATCAATTGTTCCAAAGATTCCAATATACCAAAGCCACCATCAGGCCATAAATGGAAGGAAATTCGGCACGATCCGAATGTTACATGGCTTGCATCTTGGACAGAAAATATTCAAGGACAAGTAAAATATGTTATGCTCAATCCATCAAGCAAACTTAAAGGAGAAAAAGATTGGCAAAAGTATGAGACTGCTAGGAAATTAGCGCAATTGATAGATAAAATTCGTGCTGAATATAGAGAAGATTGGAAGAGTAAGGAAATGCGTATAAGACAAAGAGCTGTTGCATTGTACTTTATAGATAAGTTAGCTCTCAGAGCTGGTAATGAAAAAGATGAAGATCAAGCAGATACTGTAGGTTGTTGCTCTTTGCGAGTTGAACATATTACATTACATGAACAAAAGGATGGGAAGGAATATGTAGTTGTATTTGATTTCTTAGGTATGATTATTTTTTTTTACATATAAAATTAGTATATATTATGTGAATGTATAGCTTACTTTTTGCTTTTCAATCATTATTATATATAGGTAAGGATTCTATAAGGTATTACAATGAAGTGCCAGTAGAGAAAAGAGTATTTAAAAATTTACAACTTTTTATGGAAAATAAATCACCAAGTGATGATTTATTTGATCGTCTTAATACAAGTGTTATGAATAAACATTTAAATGAGTTGATGGAAGGTCTCACTGCTAAAGTATTCAGAACATATAATGCTTCATGGACATTACAGCAACAATTAGATAAATTGACAAATCCTGATGATACAGAAGCAGAAAAGATTTTATCGTATAATAGGGCAAATCGAGCTGTTGCAATACTATGTAATCATCAACGTTCAGTGCCTAAAACACATGCAAAATCGATGGAAAATCTTAAGGCAAAAATAGAAGCTAAGAAACAAGCTATTAGTGATGCAGAACTTGCTGTAAAGGATGCTAAACGTGATGCGAAACACGGTTCTGTTAAAGAAAAAGTGTATGTAATTATTACTTATTTAAAAATGTAATATTGATAAATATTATATTATATAATTGTTATTACAGTGTATATGAAAAGAAGAAAAAGACCCTTGATAAATTAAAAGAGCAGTTAACAAAATTGGAGGTCCAAGCAACAGACAAGGAGGAAAATAAGGAAATTGCATTAGGCACTTCCAAATTGAATTATCTTGATCCTAGAATTACTGTTGCATGGTAACTTTAATTTTTCTTTTATTTTATGCTAAACGTTATTAAGCATTATTAGACATTATGTACACAAATATCTACTGCATTTAATTTTTTATTTTTGTATTGTTTAGGTGTAAAAAACATAACGTCCCTATCGAGAAGATCTATAATAAAACTCAGAGGGATAAATTCAGATGGGCAATAGACATGGCAGGACCTGACTATGTATTTTAACCCCATAGAAGATTGATTATTACAAAAAATAACTCCCACTAATTGTATTTAGTGAAATTTTCGTTAAAATTATCGGGAGAAAAGTAACGGTATAATTTTCTATATTTACAAAAAATAAATGTGAGAGTGTGGAGACATATTTTATATAGAACACTACGTTAAATTTCGGTAAAGACTTTATATCCAATGTGTAATCGACACATACTTGTAGTTTAGAATTGATCGCTTAGCAATCATTGCATACAAATTTTAGCGGTCGCATTTGCATATAGACGTTTAATTGATCTTATAAATACTAGAAATGAAAATTGAATAGTTTGACAAAAAATTAAATTCATTAGGTAGAAATTTATAATGTTTATGAATTAAGAAACAAGATTTGTGCAAATGATCTAAATTTAGAGAACATAGCTCAGAATTATTTCACTAAAACAAGAATTTTACTACCTTACTACCTTACCTCTAAATTTAGAAGTGCACGATCAGCATGGGCTGTTGCATTGTACATAGAATTATTCATGAAAACTTTGCCAGCCAATTAAAGGAAAGGTATATGTATGTGTATTAGGTCTATAAAAATGCATCTGCCAAATGAGCAGCTAATTTTATATTCCTTTTAATTTGACTTTTCTTATTAATGTATAGTGTCATCAATGGAAAGTTATTTGTATTATTATGCATTATGACATTCAGAAAAATTGTGTAGAGTCTTGTGCTCTACGTGAATTCTTTAGTATACAATTATTAGCGAACGTGATTTGAATATACTGTCCCAAAAAATAATTATTATGACATAGTAATGTATTTAAAAAGTAGATCATCGCTTTTAGCGATTTATGCTTTATAAAAGAAAATGTTTAGATTATAATAAATGTGAACACAGTGTATCCTTAACATTTTTTTTAATATTTGTACACTTAAAAACCTTGTGATCACCATGGTATAAAATGTTGTAAAAGAAAACTACCGATTTCGATACATTAGAAATTAGTTATCATATAACTATAGTTGAGTTCTGTTTGATCATATTAACTAGTGTCATCTTAGTATATACAAACCCATATTTAATAACAAAATACTCAAATTTATTGCAATATTTTTCAAAATCCTTTACATGATATATACTTGTGAATCATTTGTACAAGATATTCTACATTTAAAGAATATCTTTGTTTATGTGACTAATGGGACTCAAATTATACATTAATATTCGAGAGTATGAAATATTTTATTTTAATTGGTTATAAGTAAATCATATTTAAAATAGGTCGATCTATTGGCTTATTTATCTTGGAATATAAACCAGGGACGAGTAATTTTTTTGGTAGCTTAGAAGATATTCACTTTAACTTAATCAAAGATTTTGTCATAAATGTATTATTTCTCTCGTAGGGATATTCATTCATCTCACTGAATTTAGTGTTAATTACTCGTCACTGACAAGATATTCTTACAACACTGTATTGTATGCATACAAATACATATGGTCCTTTACACTCATACTTATATATAAATATATATTTAAGGAAATTGCAATGATAAAATTATACAAATATGTAGTCAGAATGGTGGTTCTTTGTAACTTTTGTTTTATCAAATTATTACAGGATAGTTTATTTTATTTAAAACTATAGAATGTATACTAATGAGTTCTAAGAAAAGTTATGAAGTTATTAAAGGCCACTATTCTCAAAAAACTGCCAACATTGTATGAAAAATCATATAATTTAATCGTCTGCTATGCTACAGACTAGTTTCTAACATTCAAATAAGTTTGGTCATGTTTTAATTGTCATTAATAACTCAAAATGAATATTTCATTAATTTCAAATATTTTACTATTTAAAATAGTAAATTCTTACAATGTATAATATATTTTTATATTACTATTTTCCTCAATATTGATGATTATAAACATTTCTGTAAATGAAACTGGTACTGTATATCAGACTAAATTAACTTATACAATGATTAAGTAGACTGAATTTAAGATATATATGTGCGTATATATGTTACATTACCCTTATTTTATTTTAATGAAGTCATTTGCAATATAGAAATTAGTAACTAATTAACATGACATTATAATGGAATACAATCAGTAAGTAGGCCTCTGATATCAAATGTTTTATGCACATAACATCAAATAATATAACATTTTTAACTTTTGCAAGAAGTGAAAAATAAAAATACAATCGATATCTAGTACAATGAAGTGTGCACAAATTGAAGGTGTATGTAAATTTCAAACATTATCATTTCTATACAATACTAAAATAATAAAACTTATAATAATACTAAAATAATAATAAAACTAACAAAAAGATTAGTTGATTTATTTATATAATCTCTTTAATTGTTCACATAGATACTATTAGTAAAATTCAATGGTTTAAAATATATCGCATCAAGTTAGAGGTGTGTTTATTTCGAAGTGAAAAAAAAGTAGAACCCAATAATACTCTTTACTTTTATTGGTTTATTATTAAAGAGCAAAGTACAATAATATACTATTATATTACTGCAGTTAGTGATGATAGTAATAAATTATTAATAATTTAATTCAAATAATTGTGTAAATTTGTAATAAATATTAAAGATGTAAAAACATACAAACATAACGTTTTATGTGCGTGCAATACCAAATGAAATAAATATTAAATATTTTTCTTTTAATATTTCAAGCCAGAAAATAAAATACATAAATAACATGACTTCCAAGTTCGAATAATATATACTTCAAAAAATATTTAAAATAATTAAAGAATAATCAGAAATATTTAAAAACATATTTGTAATTTAAATTCTGGCTAACGAAACATTCATAACATACAATATAATTTCAACTGAAAGGAGAGAAATAATACGATAACAAAAAAATATAACTTACCGAAATATAACTTTATATCTAATAAAAAATAAATTCCCGAATTAATTATAATACAAAAATTTCTTTATGCAGTATTGAAAATTAATGCTTATCCTTAATTATATAAAAATCAATACAGGAGCATGAAGTTTCTATTTTTTTTCTCTCCATAAAATTAATAATATATATTACACAGTATCATTGTTTAGTATATAAAATATAAAATCTTGATTTAAGATTAAATGAAATATTTTTTTTTGGTTATTATGTCACAGCAGAGTAATTACCAAAATGGTAGTTTCTACATTAAAAAGGTAGACTAGACTATGCTAAATCACTATTTCGTTACGATTGTTATACGTAACAAAATAAATATTATGCATCAAAAATTGAAGTATTTTTTGAATGCTTATATAAATTACATTCTATAATGTTAAATTTAATCTTATTTATAATACCAATCATCATTTATTTGTTAATGAAGTTATATATTCACAAACAAACACAATTTTCTTTTTTTTTCAATACTTAAATCACCCAATTTAAACAGAAAATTATCAACAGAAATACTATCTAATTTGAACAATATTCAGTAATTATCAATTGTATAAATTATATTTTGACGTGTTTTGCAATTTGATCTATCATACTAAAAATATAAAAATTGTTTATTGTCTTTCATAAGTATTTATATGAATTCTTTCAATCCTAATAATAATAATAGTAATAATAAAAGATAATGATAAAAATAATAAAATTTGTTCCGTTTACTACGAAATATGAATTAGTACATTAATGTACTTATAAATCCAACTAAAAATATTTCTTCCAAGATACTCGATTAACTAGGATTAAACAACTTGTAATGAATTTGACGAATTTGTCACAAACAGTTGTAATATAAAAGCATAAATGCTTATTAAAATTCCAAATTATTTTACAAATAATTTAGATTTAAACATGCATAACATTCTTAAACATTGGTACATATGTCGATATTTATACTAATTACTTTGTATTGCTATAATTGAATTGAGCAATACATGTTATGTTACTCACAAATTGTTGTGTATTCATCTGTGAGCTCGTATATATTGCGTATTCATTCATTTCAGAACATTAAACCAAGTTTACTTTTGAAAAGTTATCACAATACATCGACATAAAAATCGATGTAGATTAATACATACAATTTTATGATGATCAAAATATTAAACTTTCCAATTTCATTCTGGATCAGTTTCTCCTTCTCCAATCGGCAATACTGAAACAAGACCAGCTGCTATCTTAGCTTTATATGTCTCCGGTTCGAACCAGCGAATCGGTTCCTGTTAAATAAAAATGATAATTAATTACGAAACTCTTGATAATAAAGTATTATTAGGTACTAAATATTATATTTTCTACATTACCTTAATATGATGTTATAAGCAGCATGCTTTAAAATTGTAAAGCAAGTGTTAAATGATTTAAGTAATGTGCATCATGCTTTCTTAGTATAGTGTCACAAATATTTTCGATTTCACTTTTTAAATAAAACAAAAATTTGCCACATTTTTGTTATAATGTATGCACTGTATGATTTAAAATGTATAAAGTAAAAATGTTTTATTATTTTTAATATCCCATAAGTGTTACACAACAATATTCCGTACACAAATCGTTTTTAGTCTTTTATACCACATAAGATTCTATACTTTCCTCAAAATAACACTTCTAAAATTAATCAAAATTACTTTTTCTTAAACTCATTTAATATTGATTATTCAAATTTAATATCTACAGTAAATTATGTAGCTATTAAAATAAGTCTTAATATTTATGAAATATAAAAATAATATATATTTGAAAGGATATAAAGTTTAAATTCATAATGTATTATAAACGTAAAACGATATATTTTCATTTTTAGCTTATATTATTAATCAAATCTTTAATTCATAAAAAAAATAAATATTTAACTTTTAACAACACAAAGTAAAAAGACACGCTTAAAAAATAATTTTTTATAGCTTATTCCATAATACTATAAAGTATTACTATACTACATACTATAAAGCTCTAATTTATCTAACGGAGTAAACATATTGTACTAATATAGTAAAATGTAATAATAAATATTAACATATTATTATAATTTAAGGACAAATTATATTGTCTTCATCAAGGAAAACTATTAGGTAACATAAAAAACAAATCTTATATGTAACCAATTTTCTACATAATACTGATAAAATAATTTGTTTGGTAAGAACTATCAAATATCACAAAATTTATCATAGTTACATCAAATTTTTGGTCTAAGTACGTACGTATCTTACGTATATATCTAATAATGTATGTTCTTACAGACATTGTAATTTATTATTTACAACACAAAGAAAGTAAACTCAAAATGAAAATTGATCTTGGTTAAAATTAGAAATTATTTGGTAATTATACTTTCGTGGAAAATGTCTTTCATTAATAGAAGAAATTTTCTTTATGCTATCACACAATTATCTTTTTCTATGCTATCATGCTATTACTATTTGAGATTCAATATTTAAAGATGAGTATTTTAAAAATGAAATAAGTAAAATATAAAAATCATTCTAGAGGAGTCAGCATATTTCAATAGAGCAGATAAATGTAACTTCGAGATAGTGAAATTAATTTCAAGGTGTTAATCAGGTACCATCTCGCAAAAAGAATTAGTAAGTAACACTGTTGTACATCAGGTGATTAGCATTGGTATCACATTGATGTACCTTGCGAACAATGTTGGGACATTCCTTCTGAATGCGAGCCCAATCTGCAGGCGGCCGTTTAGCATAAGGGCCTGTTGAACACAGCAATAAAAACTCATATGTGAGTTCTCTAACTTCTGGAACTAAATATAATGTTATCGAAATATTATCTTTTGTACTTACAAGATTTTTGTAATCATTTAAAATAATTACCTTCCTGAGCTGATGAATTTATTTCAGATATATGGGGTTTATAAGTTTCTTCACTTTCTGAAGTCGCAGCACTATCCATATTTAATTCACGACCTACTTCATTTGTATTACTTGGAGTTAGTGATGTTTTTTGTGTACTGGAAGACGAGATCGAATAAGGAGATTCTTCTTCAAAATTGAAGTATTCTATACCACTTGTGAAATTTTCAGAATCTCCCAAGAAATATTCGTCTAAAACTAGTTTTGCAGTCTAACATATATAGTAATTATGTTAGAAACAATGTACTTAGAAACATAACTTATGTTTTAAGAAAAGAAAATTATTACCCTAACAAGATCAAGATTGCATCCTGTGATCTTTAAAGACTGGTTACCAACAGTAACTGTATATTTATATTCGCCTATACTGGCGTCGTTGGTGGAGAAGCTATGGAGGAGTGAACTTCGTAAACGAGAGTTTTGTTGCTGATGCTGCAATCGATTACTCTCATCTGATGCACTACTATTTAATGAAGAGCTAGAACCACCCATAGCTCCTTTTTCTCCTCCACCTTGCTCCAATCTCACCGGTGATGCATTTCGTTGAATCGTATCTTTTATTAAATCCTTCGCGTAACTGCCATATTAATGTACTTCTTAATAAATTATATATAAATTATATATTTGAAATTCAACATACAATAGTAAGCAATTAAAATTAAACTTACTGTATCTTGTCCTCGGAAGTACCCGTGATTTGGACAAGTCGTTCTTTGGCTCCAGGGTTTACTGTGAAAAAGAAAAGAAACATTATATTAGACGCAATATTTTATAATATCGATAAAACGTCAAATTTTTGTTATCAATCAGAATTTATTATGTAAGTACTTATTTGCATTGTGGTTAATGTGCAATTTATCAATGCAAAATTATATATCAATAAATATATATTAAATATGGATATTGATCAAACACTCCAAAACAAATTATTTATGCATTAGAACATTAAAAAGTTTAACAACATTTGTGTAAACATTTTCCTGTAAAAAGAGATAACTTTTAGATATTTAAAACTGTAAGCATTTATAAGCAATAAACAAAATTATATGAAATACATAAAATGATGAATAGAACTGTAACTGTAACAATCACTATTCAACATTTTATACTTATTTAAATATGATTTAATAAGCTGCAAATAATATGCATTCTAATGACAGTAAAATATGATAACAATCAAAACAGTAGTACAATAAAACAGATTTTGAGCAATCACACAATAGAATGTTCACAATAATTTTATTAAGTGACTAACATAATAACATATAAAGACAAAAATTTCATGCAAATAAAAGTAAATGTAAGTTACAACACAAATTATACTTGTAAATTAATGTAAATATCACTTGCTACCATAACTTTATTTTATAGGATATAATTATTTTATAGTATATTATAGAAAAATTTTCAATACTTCTTTTTGGTATTTTATATATGAATATATAATGGATATTTTACAAAATTTGTAATTATACGGAAACAATACTTCAATTTTGACTATTTTATAAAATGGATTGACACAATGAAAATATTAGGATATGTAAAGATATTAAAAAATATATAATTAGTTATTTTTATAATGCGTGAACATGATGCTATTAAGCCATCTGCAAATTGTTTGTTTACCTCGCTGGAAGGAGATGATTGTCTGGCTGAGCTCTTCGATCATGTGAACCCGCCGCCCTTTTATTCCCATCACTGTATTTTTGTGCAAATGATTTAGAAGTAGAAACATAATACTTACTACTTACAATAGATGTGAAAATCAGTATATAAAATATAAGATATATCAAAAAACAGATCCAAAAGTATAGTGCAATGGTAACTTAAAATTAAAATAAACCATTCAGAAATTAAAACAGGTAAGCCATATTCTACATTATATTACGGAGTTTTACATGTATATTTCAACTACAATATACATATCACTAAATTAATTTAAAAACATTAAATTTTCCTTACCTTTACCAGAATCACTGTTACGTATAACAACTTCATCTTTACAGTAGTTTTTCCCAGGAATACGCGTAGGTTTAACAAATTTGCCACTATTTTTTATAACTTCACCAGGTCCTAAGATAGGTGCCACTGTAGGTGAAGACATTGTTGCCATAGGAGATGACAATGTATTTGTAGGTGTATCAGGAATTGCTTCTGCCTGTTAATGTCATTTTATCTTTATAAATCATTCAACTCATATTATAGGAAAACATGTGTTTATCTAAAAACATACATTATCCAAATGGGATAATTTCTGTGTGTAATATACATCCATAGAATCGGTATGACGCCATTGCTTGGCTCTTAATTCTATAAGTTCCAGCAGGTGAACCCTAGTCGTCAAATCTAGTTTTTCGTCTTGACTTCCATTTCTGATCGCCACAAAAGCTCTATCCAGCTGATCTGTACATTAATGAACAAGAAATTAAAATTATTAATGGATTAATCTTTTATCTTTCTATATTACAAATACTATTTTAAACTATACCTTTATAAATAGCTTCTAATTGATGAGCATAAAGTTTTAGATGATTACACATTGTTATTACATTTATTTGTAGCGTTCGGTCATGGAAGCCATTAGTTAGTTGCATTGCAACATTGTCGATTAAGGACACTATGTCCTCCACTGTGAAACAATTTTTAAATTTAATAAATTATAGCTGTTAAAATTAATAATTAATGCATTACAAGAAAAATAACTAAGACAATAAAATATATCTAAATCCATACTAAATATACATATTTAGAATGCAATATAATATAATCTAATGTAATATCAGAGATATTATATAAAATTAACAATTACCAGTCGTAATCCGCCCATCGACGGTCGCGTGGCGTTGATTAAGTTTAAGCGGCCGAGGTTTTTCAACTTTCTTAATGGTTCGTGCTCGGTTTAGTTGCGTTGCGGCCATTTTTTATAATCTTAAACAAACAAAAAATATAAAAAATAAATTCACAAAAATGACTACTAATTACATACAAAATTAAATATAAATTTATTAAATTATCTAATGTATTTTATTTGAAACCTTAAAAGTAATATTCCTTAACATGAACACATTTTTACATTATTAGGGAGTATGTACTTTAAACATTACCTTTCGGAAAGAACATGTAATAAAATAACAAGTATGTAATTGTCTAATCGATTTCCTTTCATATAATACTGAAAGGTTTCATAACGGAATGCTAGTTGATAATATAATATAGATAATTACTTGTATAATTAATATTTATGTAGATATTATTTATATTTCTTTAATAACATAGCATAATTCCGAAATTAATACTTAGAGAAAAGAAAGAGTAATACAATACTCTAAGTTTAATTATTTTCAAAAGTGTATTCTTTTAAATTCTCGATGTATAGTTTTGCGCCGCGGGTGATTTAAAAATAACTACGGAAAAGAGAGTGGTTTATGAAGAATATAATGATCGATAGCAAATAAGAAGAACTGAAACTTAAATGTACTAACGTGAATTTTAACAATATTTGTTATAGTTGAGGCAGTTGGGGTGAAACGTAGACTCTTTACAATAGTAGGTTATTTTGCTGTAGTCTACGTAGCGATAAAAATAATTTATACAGTCCCCATGTGAGCGCCTCTGGCACTTTCGACATCTTGTAAGGTACGTTAGAAGAAGAAGGAAAATGTACAAAGAACAAGGAGAGAGAGTAAGCAAAAGAAAGGAGAAAACAAGAGTGGGGGAGGAAGAGTGGAAGGGAAAAGCAGAACATATAAAAGGAAAAAAAGGAAAAAAAATTTAACGAATTATTAAAATTTTACAAAGTATAATACAAATGACGTAAATTTTGTGTATATAAATTACTGAACACTGAAATGTATTATGCTAATAATTAACATGCAAAACGCTTACAAAGTCTAAAATTGTGAAAGTTAAGGCACATCATGTCGAAAAAATATTTAGTATGCAATATTAACCAAGATATTACATTTAAAGGCTAGTAATTACACTTCAATTTTCATTGTTGGGAAGAAACTTACCACCACGTCGGCCGTGCCACAAATCAACGACAGGCAGACCGTCTGAAAGAAATCGGTAAAATATGTCGTTGACATACGTTGCGAAGGTATATTCAAGTGTCTTCAATTTAAAACGATGATACCAACACGACATTTAAAATTCACTAGTCAAAGAACTAAATGGAGGCCTTTTTTTGAACGTTTATATATAACTTCGCATAATATAAGATGAGCTTATTAAATTTGCATAAATACATTATTGACATTGAAAACATTTTATTCAGTCAGTAAGAAGCATTCTACATGATGATTGATGATTGATGATTGATGATGACGATGACGATGACGATGACGATGACGATGATGATGACGATGATGATGATGATGATAATGATGATCATGATAATGATAATATAATAATAATCAGAATAATCATAATAATTATAATATTAATTTATAATAATAATTCATTCATAATAACCATTTATAATATACAGGTAATTCTCTCTCTCTCTCTTTCTCTCTCTCTTTCTCTCTCTGGCGCGCGCGCTCTCGCACTCTCATACATTGAATTGTCCTTAGTACATAAATTATAGAAAATTCATCAATAAATGAAACATTATATTCTTCAGACTATGAATGTAGTCAATAAATCATTTTTATACCGTTCTTGCTGCAAAGATATTTTGTTTCTTCTTTTAGTTTAGTATTCGGCAGCGTTGTTGGATTTGAAGGACTACTTTAAACTCCCTGCCCACAGTAACGTTTACATACTTTGTGCTTTTTCTTTGTACATTATTAAGAAATTCGTACCTGCTAAGCAGGTCAAAGATAACAAACCCTAAATACTTCTCTTTATAAGGCATAATATGTTCCATTATATTTCACAACAAAATTACTGTATCAGTATATGTATAAATGAACAATAACACAATAATGTAAACGTAACTGACGCAGTTCTATTATTGTAAATCCATATTTCTATTGATTTGAGGTAGTGTATTCAATGTAACCCTATTACTTTGCTGCTATATGTTGTGTGTGGATATGTGTCTCGTATGAATATTTTTCACACCCATACACTTTCACTATAAGTCCAAAATATGCAAAACATATTAGAAAATTTTATGTTTAAAAAACAGATATAATCATTAATCTTCTCATTAAAATTTTTTCTATTTATTGCAAACAGCATGATATTTTTTAACGTGTATTTATAAACAGTTCAAAATGTAGAAATGAAAAATATACACTATGTATATATTTATGTATATAAATATACACACACATGCACACACACGCTCGCTCGCTCATTCATGCATGCATGTCAATATTTTGGACTTACAGTTATCTCAGTTATAAGTGTGCTTCAAAAATTATCATCTATGTATAAAGTATGAGAAAACTAAATGTCGGGCAAATTTTGAAACCTATTGTAATTTTGCATTAATTATTTTGTGCATGCTGTACATTAAACGAGCATGATATTTTGTAAGTATATCTTGACATTATTAATCAAAATCTTCCCGCTATTCAGTATTCCAACTTCATTACCAAATACGACAAGGCTGCTGACATTAGGCTTGCTAGCACTTGTAAATAATGCCCAGCAATTGTGCTATTTTGTTAGTTTCTTTTAACTATTATTTCATGAATAATTTATCACATTTTAATTATCTTCACAGATTCAAAAAGAGAAGGCATATGTAACACAATGCATTACCAAGTTAGCTCAATCTATGAACACTTTTGTAAAAAATATAACATCTATGGATGGTTGAGCTCTTGGTTAGCATATAGCGAATTAGTACTTTTGAAGGTAATGCGGATCACTTCTGCAGGAACAACTACTGAATACAACTATTCATGTCTGATTAGTGTTATATGCATTTTACATAATTCTTCCTCTACCGTAAAAGGAAATGTTGCTTTTGGATTTAGAAAGATATCCAAAATTATATCTAATACTTAAAAAATGGAACCTATTTAAGCACAAGATATGGATACTTCTTACAGCTTTAGTTTTAAGTTCATTCTATTACAGAAGTGATTTTCGCTCTAGTCTTCGTATATTAGTTTTTCTTTCAATGTCACACATACCCTCTCCCTAAGAAACTAATTACAGTAAACTCAAATTGGAATTAAGAAATTGACAATATTAATTTTGAATTTTGACACATTCTTGTTATTCTTATATTACTTTTAATATAAGTTTAACAACTTAACCCAAACCAATCTAAAGTTAAAGCAACAAATGCAATGCATAAACACATTGTAAAAAATTAAACTTAACATAAAATATGATTCACATCAAGATATAATAGCCTCAACAGTTTACCAGGGGAAAAACACAAACGAAACATACATATAATAGTAAAACTATTAACTACTTCACTACTCTAAAATAGCGAGAAAATCCTAAGACACGCGATATCGCACAATGAACAATATTTTTAGAAGTTGCAGAATATTTGCAATTTCTAAAGTCATTTTCCTTTATTAAATTTGAATTTTCTAATTCTTGCATTGAATGTCTTGTGATTTTTACGCTTTTGTAACAATTAATTCAATATCATCCCTCCTGCTATGTTATTGATTTTCTCATCTATAGCTGGAGAATATCTCAAAATAAAGCAGAAATTTTTCTGCTTTCAACTTGTACGTTCAACTTGCAATTTTAGATCTTGGAGTCGAAATCCATTATTTGGTTAATTGTGTCACGATTATACGTAATTTTTTTTTATAAGTTAAGCTCGTATGTACCTTGACATTATTCTTCGTGTATTTAATATCATCAGAATATTATTTCTTGTGACTCATGGAACATTTCAACTCCACAGATAAAAATTGATTTTAGACAACAATTAAAGATTAAAATCATTATTAACTATAATTATCAATTACACGACCATTAGTATGTCTTATGTAGTAATAAATTACCATCGTGCTATTTTATTTCACCGTCGACGATTGTTTTTTTTATTACTAGTTGTTTATGAGTTATTTAGCTTAACTTATTAACGAGTATTAATGGCATCTGCGTTTGTCAAGAAGAATTGAAATAAATTTGCATTTTACCTTAATTAATAATGCTGTACGAAATTCAGCTTTCCAAACTTTTATAAACTTCATTTAATGATGCCGTTTTTTCTTGAAACCTATAATAAATTTGTGTTATGTTATAAATAATAAATTTCGATATAAAACTATGTTCAATAAATTGAAATAATTTACTTTTTTTAGCTTTTCCTTTTTTCTGAGCTTTCCTTTTTTTACCAGATACAGAAGATGATTCTCCAAAGGTTGTAATTTCTTCTCCAAGTGTACCAAGAGTTGTTATTTGACGAAGTCTATGTTTTTCTTGTTTAGTAACAGGCAAACGCGTCATATAATTTTCTTCGTATTCTATCTTTCGTTTATTCTCGCGACCTAGACTAGCTTGTTTTTCTCCCAAACCATGCTTATCTTCAATAGGCGCATCTAAGTATTCTTCTTTTAATTCTCTTAAAACAGCACCTGAGACAGCACGTCTACGAGCTCTTTCACCTGCTTTACGAATTTTTTCAGCAACTGTTTCATCTCCATCTGTAAATGCAAAGTAACAAATATTCAGACATTACATATTTTCAGTTTGAAAAATTATATTATAGTTGTAATTACTGAACATAATATAAATTTATAGATACTGACCATAATGTACTGAAGCAAATTTTGGTGGTACATAAATATTAGATTTTCTTGCCTGTGCTGATTTAAAACCATCTATTTTATCATCCTGTTCACTATCAGATTCTTCATCATTACTATCAAATGCATCTGGGTTTGCTTTAAAATTAGTTGGATCATCACTGTTAATAGTACCAGTTACAGCAGTCTTAACAAGTTTATCTATTTGATACTTTAGTTTCTGATCTATTGGTCGGATTTTCTCTAGGACAGTTCTTATTTCAATCAAGCGATCAATTGATGGATCTCCTTCTATACGTTCTCCTGAACATTTTCTCAAAACTACATAGGTTAAATTAATTAAATAAGAAAGTAACATGTGATATTTCATTTCTAAAAAACTAAGACCCTTGTCTGTAGAAATTTCTCCATTTTTGACACGAACTAACATATTATCTACAAGTTGATTAACTTGTAAAACATTAGCATTCATTTCCCCAAGCAAGCGAAATGCTTGTGAGAGATCTCTTTGTTCCATTTCATCAATTGCCTGTAAACATAATTTCCCATTATTAAAAATACATATCTCATCTAATATAACAATTTAAACATGCATACTATTTAAAAATTATGTACCCCCATTATTATCATATTTTGCATAAAAAACAAAAATGTTTACAAATAAGTAATTTGCAATGAAGCATTCATTCATAAAGTATTGAATTTTTTCAATATGATTATATTTTATTTCATACGTATTCAATTATCAGTTAACAATATCACTTAAAATTTCTCTATCATCTTTTCCCGTATTTACTACAAGTTGAATATACGAAAATCATTATGTATTCTATTTATTTCAACATTAATCACATTTTATTTCAAAAATAAAATACGCGCTAAATTCTGTTCATAAAATTGAAAAGTAACCAATGTTTTTATGTAAGTTTCACCTAAAATTTATAGAAAAACTTAATTTTAAGAAAAATGTCGGACCCGTAGATAGACAGGAAAAAAGCGCAATAATCTGCTGCCATCTTTCCTATTTACTAATGGATGACAACGGAAAAAAAAACAATCAAAAATTTCCAATAGACCTGATAGAAAAATGCATTGATTTAGACATTCTGCATGGAAATTTGCCAATATAACATACTTAAAAGTTTCTACTCACCTGTACCATTGTTCTGAAACAAAAATTAACCGAACAGATGCATATCTAAATAACGTAACTTGTAATTAAACGAGTCCCCACGTGGGACGATATTTTCCTTTTCGGGGGTATATTTTTTCGCTCGGAAAAGCTTAATCAACATACCTTCTATTATGTAGCAAAAATGTTCCCATTTCTTACAAAAAATCAATTTTTATAAATGTAAAAATAATAATTTCTACATAATATGAATTTATAATATAAACACACAATAGATCAAATCATTAATTAAGTAATATTTTATATTTATAAAAGATTCACTTCCTTTCTATTTACGCAGATAAAAAATTGCGGGAATTTCAAGAATAAATACTTTAATGAATACTTTTTATATGAAAATTTATGTTTCAAATATCGTTCTGAAAATTTGATACATAATTTTTTATAATTAAATTAATCACAAATTACAATAGGAAAATAAAATTATCAGTTAAATGGAAAGCTATATAAAATAAACATTAACACATTTAAGAAAATGTTTGATAGCTTAAGTGATTATGAAGAAAAAGTATTTTGCTTTTATTTTACTTTCGTACTTATTCTGAATTTGTTAAAATATAAATAGTTGTGCATCTATGAGAATTATAAAGCTTCTTTTATCCTAAATAAATTAATTAATAAATATTACTATTGATAAACATCAGTCTGAAGAACAATATATAGTTATGTATACATATAACTAGAAATAAGCTTACTAGGGAATTTTATAAAGAATCTTTCTTGTATTACTTTACCGATAAATATTTCGGCACAAACTTCATGTTGAAGTTAATTTCATTTTTGACGTGAGCACAGTAAAAACTTTGTTAGTAACAATTTAAAATAAAATAAGGGGTACGGCGTAGCGCGCCTTTAACGAAAATAATATTAAAGAATGGTGCGAGTATATTATTTATTATTTTTACTTAATATTTAGATCGGACATCATAAAATAAAAGTATTTATTAAATTGACGTGGCGGTTCTTTTTCGGTATAATATTTTCTAACTTCGTAGCGGCAGTATTTGTAAAGTACAATTTCATTAATTCTATCAGAAACTTAATGACACTGTTTATTATAGTTGCATTGAAAATGTTAAAAAAATTAATGTTATTGTACTTTATAGTTGATTGAAATGATTAAAACATACAATTGTGTAGATAATCTTATAATGTATATATAAATACATTATATTTAATAACATTTATAATACATGTAAATGTTATTAAAAATAGCAGTTAATTTAATAAAAATGTAAATTATACATATTATGTCTTTGTCAACAGGAAATATTAAAAAGAAGCAGTGCAATATTTGTTATTATATCTTTATTAATTGAAACAAATGGCTTTTATGTACCTGGTGTTGCTCCTGTGGAATTTAAAAAAGGGCAAAAGATTGATGTTAAAGCAGTTAAAATGACCAGCACTCATACCCAATTACCATACGGATATTATTCTGTTCCTTTTTGCAGACCAAAAAATGGAACTATCTACAAATCAGAAAATTTAGGAGAAGTATTACGTGGTGATAGGTAAGATATATTATTTGTTACTTTATTGTTAGAAAATAATTTCATTTATCCTTAAATAGAATTGTAAATACACCATATGAGGTATTAATGGCAGAAGACATAACCTGTAGATTATTGTGTCATGGACCATCTAATCTTATAACATGGAATGAAGAAGAGTCATTGCGTGTTATAGAACGCATTCAACACGATTATACTGTGCATTTGTAAGCATATATAAAATTGTAATATGTATTAAACATACACCTATAATAATTTTTGTTTGTTTTTAGGTTAATTGATAACTTACCAGCAGCAACAAAAAAGGTTCATAAAGATACAAATAATGTAATTGTATATCATGGATATCGTTTGGGTGGTATTATGAATGATCAATATTATATTAATAATTACCTTAAATTAAAATTAAGTTACCATAAATATGGAGAGTTAGTATGAATAATACCATTTGACATGTAAATAATGTATCAAACTACAACTTCTTTTTACTTTTCATAGAAATGAATTTAGAGTAGTTGGATTTGAAGTAGAAGCTCGTTCAGTTGATGTAAGTCAATTAACATTTGATGGAACAACTTGTATAGTGCCCACACATGCCCAAGCAAATCCTCAGTTTGTCAAGCCTAAAGGAACTAAGCTTCTGTTCTTGTATTCTGTGGAATGGAGGATATCTGACGTAAGTTGGGCAAGCAGATGGGACATATATCTAGGAATGAGTGATGTTGAAATTCATTGGTTTTCAATCATCAATTCACTTATTGTAGTCATTTTTCTTTTTGGTAAATATACATTATTCCTAACGTTTAATTCTTTTGATTGCTTTGGATTACATATATAAAAATTTATCATAAACTTATATAGGCGTTTTAACAATGATAATGGTTCGGACACTCAGAAGAGATATTGCACGTTACAATGCTGGTGAAAGTGATAGTTTAGCAGGTTTAGATGAAATAATCGAAGAAACTGGTTGGAAATTAGTTCACGGAGATGTATTTCGGCCACCGCCAAATCCTCGATTATTTGCTGCTGTGATAGGCAGTGGAATTCAAATATTTTTTATGGCTTTAATCACAATATGTAAGATCTTATATTTTTTATATCAAATAATATTATTTTATTAGAATACTTTTACATTATTTTCCTTATGTATTTTTAGTTTTTGCTATGTTGGGAATGCTTTCTCCTGCTAGTAGAGGTGCACTTGGAAGTTGTGTTATAACCTTATATGTATGTTCTGGTTTAATTGCCGGGTATTTCTCTGCACGTCTTTATAAAACAATGCGTGGTCGAAAATGGAGAAGAACAGCATTATTGGTAAAAATAAAATACAGTAATATACTAAGGTAAATTTAAATGACAAAATTTATTATATTATTATATAATTTATCACAGACAGCAACACTTTATCCTGGAATAGTGTTTACTACTTGTTTCTTCTTAAATTTCTTTATATGGGGCAAGCATAGTTCTGGTGCAGTACCATTTACAGCAATGTTAGCACTGTTATGTTTATGGTTTGGTATATCTCTTCCTCTTGTATATGTTGGATATTTCTTTGGATATCGTAAACATCCTTTTACGCATCCTGTTAGAACAAATCAAATTCCTAGACAAGTTCCTGATCAATTATGGTATATGAATCCAATATTGTGGTAAGTTTATAAAATTAATATAATTTGCTTAGAAAATATGTATCATTTCCATTATGTAAGAAATACAATGTGCCTATTAAAATTGTTGCAGCACACTTATGGCTGGAATTCTTCCATTCGGTGCTGTTTTTATAGAATTATTTTTCATTCTCACTGCATTATGGGAAAATCAGTTTTATTATCTTTTTGGATTTCTCTTCCTTGTATTCTGTATACTTGTTATCTCTTGTTCACAAATATCCATAGTTATGGTTTATTTCCAGTTATGTGGAGAAGTAAGTAATAGTTCATTTATTTTAAGTTCTATTTATAACATGTATATTTATGATACATCTTGTTTGTTATTAGGATTATCGATGGTGGTGGAGAAGCTTTATTGTTAGTGGAGGATCAGCTGTATATGTTTTAGCCTATTCAATTTTTTATTTTATGACAAAATTAGAAATAACAGAACTAATTCCAACACTTTTGTATTTTGGTTATACTGGATTGATGGTATTAACTTTTTGGTTATTAACAGGTACAATAGGATTTTTTGCAGCTTATGCATTTATTCGAAAAATATATGCTGCTGTAAAAATAGACTAGTCAAATTAATCATTGATTTTACCAATGATTAAAGAAGGTAATACTTTTTTTAATGTTACAAAGAATATTTAATTAGTTTAAATTAAATGTATAAAACTAAAATAGTACAATAGTTCATTTTCATCTTCGATAGATTAATAATAAATTGATTGCAAATGAGTAGTACATTTATCAAATAATATTCTTAAATATTATAAAATTGTTTTGGTTATAACAAAAAATGTGTAAAGATCGAAAATGGATATAACAAAAAATAATGATTAAAAAGGATGATGTATAACTTTGTTAATTGCATTATAGATACATAATTTTCATTTTTTATTGTTTATTAAATCTTAAACAAATATTTTGTTATTATTCAAATATTTATAATTTGTAAAACAGGATACTACTCATATTCAACAAATGATATACATACATATAAAGAGAATGCAAAGACTATATTAATATTACTTCTTTTTAAGATAATATAAAAAATTGTATAAAAATGTCGGTATATGTAATATTAATTATAGTCAATGCTAGGTATAATAGTTAGTAATATTAATTCACAATTATTTTATTTTTGCAATAAGATAACAATTTTGCAAGTTATATTTCTAAACATTTATTAATATACATGTATGCATTTAATGCATATAATGTAACATTAATAATGTAAAATTACGTATATTACTTATAGTTGGATAAGTTGGATAAATTGAAATATACACTACTTCTTAATATTATGTCATGTAGAATGTTTATCAGTTACATATAACATTTATTCTTGCTATAATTATAAAGATCTGTAATTTTAATTATTCAAATATTACACATGATAAATTTGTATGCATGATAAATTTCTATTGTGTTTCACGAGATCTTTAATGTTGGTTGAGTAAACGTATAAGACATGTTTTGTACATATTACAGTAACTATAATTGCAATTTTTAATATTCTTTGTGACAGTGTCAGGGATGGATAGTCGGCGTGGGTTGGGATCCAAACAAATTTCAGACACGTTTAACTAATATATATGTGTAATATATGTGTATATATGTGTAATATATATGTGTATGATGTGTGTATATTATTTAAAATATAAAAAAAGACATAAGAGAACATAAGGAACATAAAAGCACATAAACCCGTAAAACTGAAACGTAATGTCAACACGACTAATCGTGACGCGAACTCGATGAGCAGTCTCTCTCTACCCCGATGAGATCGAGCGCATTTTATCCTCAACCTATCATCTAAACAATAAGGTCACTAACCCTGAGGATTACTTCTACCTCGCACGTTCGAGAAGCATTTCTCCAAACGCATTTCGGACTAAGATTAAATAAGTGATCATCGATACTTCGATGATAATTAACCTTCCAATTTATCTAGCTGGAACTTAAATAAACGTGTCATCGACATTGAGGGCAGCAACGAGAACGCTTCTCTCCTCCTGTCAATGACCTTTACATTTCTTACAATTCGGCCATCCTGACCATATGGTCATCCTCGATCGTAGATCCATTCTAAATTCTCTTCTTCTTGACAATTTATCCCTACTTTACATTAACTGTCACCTATGCGTAATTTCATTCTACCTGAGTCAAAACCATCGGAAGACGATTACGAAGTTAATTGAAATCCTTCAATGCCCTTAACTAAATATCTGACAATTCTTAACACTTTGTCTATCACATAAGACCCTTTCTATTTCGGCAGAGGTTCTAATTTACACCCGACGTCGTAACATTTTTTATCATGCCATAATATGGTTTCTTATGTTTCTTATCAAATACGCTCTTATTATGCTCTTGTAACCTACGGTTTTGTAAAACAGCTGTTTCTTTATGCTTATTTCTATCTTCATCTGTTAGTAATTATTAGTTCATGTGTTAGTAATTAATTCGTGTGTTTTTTCTATACCTCTATGACCGACATTATCATAACAAGTCTGAATTACATTATTGATCATCGCTTTAGGTACAAATATCAAGTGCTGTACTTATAAATAAGTCCATTGCGGAATTCAAACTTAACGCTTTCGCACACTTCAAGTTTTCTCTATATAATTCCTTAATTGTAGAATCTTTCAGATGTTTATAAACTAATATTTGTTCAAACGATAAGGGTTCGATTACTAATACGTTCTAACTTAATGCATCCACGTGATGTATACGATCCGCTGTGCGATGCTCTACTTTATAATTTTGTAGAAGCAGACACCACCGATTAATGCGAGGATTAATGTCCCTTTTACTTAATGCTAATTTTACTGCGTTATAATCTCTTATTATAGTAAAATGTATTCCTGGAAGATATGTACGAAATCGTTCTAATGCATAAATTATAGCCAGTGTCTCTAACTTGTAACTGTGATAACAATTTTCCGTATCTGTCATTCGTCTGCTAAAATACATTACAGAATACTTTGCTATTGTAATAGGATAACACCTACCTATACGAACTGGCATTCGTATGCAGATCTGTTATCGCAGTTGGACTAGAAAAAGATAATATCGGTCGGCTTATTAACATATTTCGCAACGATTCGAATACAGTTAATACTTCTGTTCCAAACTTAAATGACGCTCTCTTTTTAATAAAATTGTACAATGGTCTTGCGATTTAGACAAAACTAGGTACAAATTTCCTGAAATAACTAGTCAATTGCAAAGAAACTTGGAACCTGTTTTTACTGTTTTAGGTTGTGAAAAATCTTGTATGGTTTTAACGTTCGATTCGTTCGGTGTAATTTCACTTTTATTAATATTATATATTAAATATTCAATCTCTCGTATAAGAAATTTACATTTACTGAATTTCAATTGTAAATAATGTCGGTTCAATCTAAAACTATTTTGAAAATTTTTTAATTTTCGTTAATATTTTCCGTGGCGATTAAAATATCATCTAAATATAGTAAAACCTTTCCTGATTCGATAGACTGAGTGGTCTAAGTAGATTGGTAAACCTTTGAGAAGTCGTTGGTGCATTTGCGACTTCAAACAGCATTTTCAAATATTCAAATCGTCCATCAGGCGCAACAAAAGAGGATTTTATTGAGTCTTTTGAATTCATTGAGTCTTTCATCTTTTAAATCCAAATTTGTAAAATAGGCATTGTTTGACAACCTATCAATTTGATTTTCTATCAATCAAAGGGGGTACTTATCTTTCACGGTAATTTTATTTAGTGCTCTATAATCTACACAAAGTCTTCGGATTTCTTTCTTTTGATACCAAGACAATCTTCTAAGTGAGAAGTGAAAGGGTTTACTATTTTCGGTAAGTTTAATTTGAAATTTATAATCAATCGGTTTAGTTTAGAACTCTACGTTTACATAATTAGTCAGTAATTCTATGAAAATTTGTTGAACTTCAATAAATTGCAGGAGAGAAGCGTTCTTAGTATCGCTTATTTAGGTTTAGGCCGAAATGCGTTCGGGGAAATGCTTCTCGAACGTGCGTGATAGAAGTAGTCCTCGAGGTTGGCGGCTTTATGTTTAGATAACAGATTTGGGATAAAATGCGCTCGACCTCGTCGGAACGGGAAAAGACTCATCGAGTTCGCGTCATGATTACTTGTGTCAACGTTACGTTTCAGCTTTACAGGTTTATGTGCCTTTATGTTCCTTATGTTCTGTTATGTCTTTTTTTATATTTTAAATAATACACATGCGTGCATAGACACGCACACATACAAATATATATTAAAATTAAACATGTTGAAATTTATTCGGATCCTAACTTTTGTCGGCTATCCATCTGCGAAATCCTCACAGTTCAAAAGTGAGATACGGATCCAATGAGGATACGTAGATTTTTGCTTTATGTGAAGGACTGAGTTACATTTATTTAACATTTTGCCAAACATTTAGTGTATATGTGTGTGGTTTCGTGTACTGTGAAGCGAAGATGAATTAAAACTTCACGATTCTACAATTAAATAAGTGGTCATCGATACTTCGATGACAACTGATCCTCGAACGAATCTCAGTTTAAACCTAAATACGCGGGTCATCGATACTGAGAATAACAGCGAGAACGCTTCTCTCCTTGTATTGATGACCCCTCATACATTTCTTATATCTTATACTCTTTTATACATATTTGTACACATTTTTCTTTTGAATAGAAAGGAAATATATAAAACAAAGTAATTTTCAAAATTGAATGAACTTGAGAGATTCTATTGATTTGATTAATGATAATAAGAATATATAATATAAATATTTTATACTATGAATGGTGTAAATAATGTGTAACGACTATAGAAAAGTTTTATATATGTACAGTCATTTAGAAAAATATTTAAACATACATATAACTTGGTTCTTAGGCTCTGTATTTTAAATAAACATACAATAAACATGAAAGATTTATTATGTTTTGCTACAGGGTCAGAATATGGTGAAAATAAATTGAAGAACTAAATTGTATGTATGTTTAAATGCTTTTATAATCAACTGTACATATACATACAAATTTATCAATAATCTGAGGCTTATATTTCTATATTTTGGTTTATGTTTATAATTACTGTTTATAATCTACTTACTGCACTCCTTTCATTAATATTGATAAACGAAAACGTGTTTTCAATGAAATTTCAGATGATGATACTGATTTTGTTTTAGTTTACATTTTAGAATAAAATATATAAAGATGCATATTATACTGATAATATAAATTTTGATTTCTGTAGATTCCACAGGCATGTAACATTTTGATACAGAATAATTATTGGGAGTAAATACACCCTGAAATATCAGTATTACTTTAAGTATGTATATGGTAATAAAATTACAACACTAAATTAAACAACTTTCTTAAATTTTAAACTTACTAACAAGAGTGAAGGATTATCCTTATTACGCCAACTGAAAGATGGTATTGTAAATTCTAATATATCTTTCCTATGTATTCTTCTACAACCATGATGAGTATGACCATTAATAATCAGTCTTGGATTTAATATGTCTAAAAGCTGTATGTTGATCTTTTAATAAAAATTTGTAAATTAATTATAACAGTTTTTGTAAAATATTTTATGTACTTGTTCAGATGCTTCTTTTGATAAACATTCCCACCGTTCTCTGAATTTGACATCTTTTATTTCATCTGGCGCTTGATCAGGTTCATTACAAATTTCATCAGATTCACGGTACATTGGATAATGCTATACTTACAATTTAAACATTATATTATGATTATTATTTTATAAAATAAAATTATTTACTAACCTGTAAAATAATTGGTCTACTATATCTTGAAATTGCATTATCTTTATTACAACTATTTCCCATGTCTTTTGCACATTTTAAATGTACTGAAAAATATTTCACTTGTTCATATATAAGTTCTAAATTTAATAAATATTCATCATTATAACAAAAAATAGTCTTACTGGCAATTTTATTTAGTGCAATTTCTGTTGGACGACACAAAAAACATCCATCTCCTTCCAATGCCATACTATTAATTAAAACAAAGTGATTTCCTTTGATAGTAACTCTTTTTACACTTGGTGATTTTAAGCCATTTATAAATCGTTGATTTAAGAATGGTGTAATAGCTAAATAAATATTTCTCCATCAAAAATATTAACTCCATAATTATAAAAGTTAATAATAATGCGCAATACCATAATGAAATCCAATATCATGATTTCCAGCAACAACATAAAGACGTGTATGGTTTGGTACTGAAAATAATGAATGAAATCTATGTATATATTGATCAAATTCTGCAGTACTGCTCCATTGTCCCTCATCAAATAAATCACCTATTTCATTGAATGGTACACTTAATTAATTTTCTGTTAAATATATTAAATCACTAATATAATTTGATTACATACCTAATACGAAAATTATGTCAGGTTTATGAAGTGTAACCATAGTTTGAAATGCTCTGTACATTTGCCATTCCCTATATAAAAAATACATTAATTTTAATAGAAAGAAAATATATTTAAAAGTACATATAAAGAATGTACAACTTGTTTATTATTATAAAACCTTTATTATTTAAGTATTTACTATTATACAAATTCAAACCTTCTTAATTTATCAAACCAATGTCCATTTTTAGAACCTAATAAATGAGTATCTGCAATAAACATTGCATGGACAGGAGTTTCATCCGATTTAGATTCATCAATTGTTATATCAATTTTATGTGACTCCAAAACTGGCCATGTACACTATTATATTAAATATAAAATATGAGGACATTTTAAAAATTTTATAAATATTTCAATATCAATATAACTTACCTGAATAAGAACAAGATAATACAGCAAATATTCACAAAAGATAAATACACATACTAAAGCTATGACAGCTTCGGTTAAATATCTTTTATATGAAGCTATTCTGACATCTAGCATTTTATATGATTCGAAATATTAAAAAAAATATAATTTATAAATTACTTAGAGGGCAATAATAAATAGAAACATTTCAAGAAATATTATACATCAAATAGTTTTTTATCCTAACTGAACAGTAAAATTTTACATCACTGTCTATAACATTATATATTTGATATAAGAAGTACATTTAACATAAAATGTTGAAATATAATGTTGCGTGTTATGATTTTCAGATAAAATGTACATAATATTTAATATTTTTTTATGCTATACAATATGCAAATTTACGAATCCCGTAATTATTTTTTTATCACTTACAAAGTAATAGATTCAATGTATAAAATTATAGGACTACAATTTTTTTTGCAAATAATTCGGATTGATTGAGGGATAAAAACATTTGCGACTTTCTGTTCATAATTATGACAATATCTGTCGTCTATGATAACATCTAAGTCGAAAGTATTATAATAGTACAATTGTCTACATTACCGTAGACGAGGTTTAAATTATGGTGGTGTATTAAAGTAGTCAAATGTTTCTCACTGTGAGAATTGCATTTATATCTTTAATTAATAAATATTGAAGTAAAAGTAAATATTAAAATATGCAAGTTTAGAAACTTAATACATAATACTGATAACATTTAATAATAACAATTATATATTTAAAAAATTAGTTAAAAATTTAAGGACATATTATCGACTATTTATGATAAATATTATTCCTTTATTATTACTATAAAAGTATAAACACATGGTTTTGTGATAAATTAAAAAAAAATAGCTGTATTTTATATATCATAATTTTTTATATTTTGAAAATATCAATTATAAAAATAAGGTAAATCCTTCATATTTGAAAAACGATTTCAATAATTTTCTCTTTTTTTTATTAATTTCTTCCAGACGTGTTAAATACAGTAAGTTGAGGTCAAAGTCCTCAAGAAGTATAGTAAATTGTATTGCAGGTTAAGTTAATACCTACGTTTATACGCATGCGTAGTTACCGGCATTTTCACTTTTGCATAGTGGCTACATATGTAGACTTAATATTATATTTTCGGGTGTGTGCATGTAATATTCCAAAAAATGTCACAATACAGATTATTAGGTGCTATTGCGAATTTTTCGCATATCAATAAAAATACTATAACACGCACAGGTAATTATAAGTAAGAAAAGAGAATTACATTTTATACAGTCATATAAAGACCTTTGTTCTCAAGTACACTTATTGCAATATACATTAGATTGAAGAGATAAATTATAATATTGTATAATTTATATATAAAAAAATATTAATACAGTGTCAAATCTCAGGAAATATTTATTTAATATTTTCTCTAAATTTTACTTTCAGTATTATACAAAGCAATGAGAGTAATGTCTACCTCAGCAAGTACAAAACATTTGAAATACAAAGTTATAGATAATGTGGCAGTCCTTACTATGGATTCTCCAGGGGTCAAAGTATATAATGAATATATACATAACTATATTAGGTTTCGTAACAATTAATAAAAATTATATTAATTTTAATGTAGGTAAACACTATAAATTATGAAGTGATGTATGAAATTGAAAATATTCTAAAAAATGTAGAACAAAATTCTGCTATAAATTCAATAGTTCTTATAAGTGGGAAACCAGATTGTTTTATTGCTGGTGCTGATATTTCTATGTTACAACATGTTAAAACTTCAGAAGAAATATATAAAGTATCTAGTGACTGTCAACAAATTTTGAATAGGATAGAAAAAAGTCAAAAACCAATTGTAGCTGCAATTAATGGAACTTGCTTAGGAGCAGGGCTTGAGGTATATGATTTGATATTTTGACATATTCTTTTTATAATATTTATATTTTTAATTATCCTCTCATTTAATTAATATAGATAGCTATGGCTTGTCATTATCGACTTGCTACAGATGACCAGAAAACTAGTTTGGGTTTACCAGAAGTAATGTTAGGTCTTTTACCAGGTGCAGGTGGTACACAAAGATTACCACAATTAACATCATTTTTTAATGCTTTAGATATGATCCTTACTGGTAAAACTGTTAAAGCAATTAAAGCTAAGCAAAATGGACTTGTGGATATCATAGTAAATCGTCTCGGTCCTGGTATTGGTTCATCAGAAGAAAAGTAAGAAGTGTTCATTTAATGCATATTTATACAAAATGAGAAAATCGTGTCTACTTCAAATATTTACAGTAATATGAGATACTTAGAAGAGACTGCTATCAAAGCTGCGAAAGATATAGCAAGTGGGACTTTAAAAGTTAATCGAGACTCTAAAACAATGATTGACAAACTTACGAATTATGCTTTATCCTTTGATTTTGTAAAGGACCAGATATTTAAAAGAGCAAAACAAAAAGTGATGAAGAAAACTGGAGGGTTATACCCTGCACCACTTAAAATTTTAGATGTAATGCGTACTAGTATGGATAAGGGATTAATGGCTGGTTATGAAGCAGAAGCTCAAGCTTTTAGTGAACTATTAATGACACCGGAATGTAAAGGTCTTATAAATTTATTCTTTGGACAAACAGCATGTAAAAAGAATCGTTTTGGGGTACCCAAAAGTGCTGTTAAGTATGTATATTTTAATATATTATATGAAATTAATTTTTGTATAGAATACTAATCATTTGTGTATATTTCAGGAAAGTTGCTGTTGTTGGTGCTGGTCTTATGGGAGCAGGTATTGTTCAAGTAACCATAGATAAAGGTTTTAATGTAATTATGAAAGATACAAATGAAAGAGGCCTATACCGTGGCCTCAATCAAATACAAAAAGCAATGGATACTGCAGTAAAGAAACGAAAGTATTCTAAGTTAGTTTTGAACTACTTTTAAAAAGTTTTTAATTTTATACAATAGTATATTATTACTATTATATTACACTTATTTAATTTATATACAATAAATATATGTACATATATATATTTGTTCTCAAATTTTGTTATAAATTTTTTAATTTATTTCTAGCATTCAAAAAGATATATATCTTTCTCAATTAGATTCCACATTAGACTATAGCTCATTTAAAAATGCAGATATTGTAATTGAAGCAGTGTTTGAAGATATTGCAATTAAACATAAAGTGATAAAAGAAATTGAGGCAAATACGCCGAATTACTGTGTACTTGCAACAAATACATCTGCAATTCCTATTACTGAAATAGCTGCAGGCAGTAGTCGCCCTGATAAGGTAAGTATTATATGTTATTTTTCTAATGTAATTTAATTACATGATATATTTGTAGGTGATTGGAATGCATTACTTTTCTCCAGTAGATAAAATGCAATTGTTAGAAATCATAACCCATAAAGGTACATCAACTGAAACTATTAAAACTGCAGTTGATGTAGGTTTAAAACAAGGGAAAACAGTTATTACTGTTGGAGATGGTCCAGGATTTTATACAACAAGAATTCTGTCTGCTATGTTATCTGAAGCTATTAGATTAATGCAGGTAGTACTTATATTTTTTTCAATGGCCTATTATTGCACTTAATAACAATTGGATAACATAATATTTCATGAGAAAATAGGAAGGTGTAGATCCTATAGATTTGGATAATTTGACTAAAAAGTTTGGATTTCCTGTTGGAGCAGCTACCTTGTCAGATGAAGTTGGCATTGATGTTGGCGCTCATATAAGCTCGCACCTTGTGATAGCATTAGGTGAACGTTTTAAAGGTGGAAATGTAAATATACTTAGTGACTTAGTGAGAGCTGGTTTTCTAGGTATTCACTGTTTTACTTATAACATATATATTATTTTTTCTGTATAGATATACTTAGTAAAACATTCCATTTTTAGGTCGAAAATCTGGCAAGGGAATATATATATATGAAACTAATGTTAAACATAGAAATATTAACCTTGCAGCAATGGACATTATGAAAAAATACCAATGTGAACCAAAAGGAAGTACATCCGTTGAAGATCGCCAGTTAAGAATGGTGTCTCGGTTTGTTAATGAAGCAATACTTTGTTTAGAAGAAAATATTTTAGCAAATCCGGTAATATAAAAATTTCTAATATATTAGTGAATCGTTAAAAAATACATAATGATTTGCTATTTATAAATATTTTTGCAGTTGGAAGGGGATATAGGAGCTGTTTTTGGATTAGGGTTCCCTCCTTTCACAGGTGGACCATTTCGTTGGGTAGATTCTTATGGAGCTGATAAACTAGTAAAAAAAATGGAAGAATTTCAAAATCATTATGGAGAAACATTTAAACCATGTCAAACATTGTATGATATGGCATCCGATCGCAACAAAAAATTCCATAAACAAATTCAGTAGACATTTAAAAAGAATATTCATATGGGATTACAATCTTAAGAGAACAAATTTGATACTTTATTAAACTCAATATTTACTTAAATAAGATTGTAATATAAAAAGTATATTTTTTGTTAAATATATATCAATTGAGGCGGTTTTGTTAATTGATTTTGAACTTCCTATAATTATCAATACAAACTAGTTATGTATGTATATATTATAAAATTTTTATAAGGTATAGATTTTACAATAGATATATTTTCGTAATATATAATGTTAAAGTTTATTTTCGCAAAGTAGTAGAAAAATATAAATGAAATGTATATTTGCGCTCCATTTTGAAATACAAAATATATACTTTTTATTATTTGTAAAATCATTATATATAGCTTATTAAAGAAAATTTTAATAACAAATTTTCATATCAGCATAACATTTTTTTAATCATTTTCCTTTACAAACGTAACATTAATATAAATATATGAGTGTGCATTATGTGTTAAACTGTTAAATAATGAATGACTGATAAATGCATACGAATAAATTTATCGTCTAATTATCATTTTTTATTTCCTTTGAATTATGAAAGATATAGGAGTGGAATTCTTGTTCTTGATGCAATGTTTAGAAGATATTGCACTCTCAGATATGTACTTATTTATAAATAAGAAAAATTGCATTTTTGTTTATAAGATAAATAAGATAAATTTAATAAACAAACTTCTAATATAAATAAAACGTGAACATTTAATTATAATTTCATAAAAATAGCAATAAAAAAATGATTATCTTCTATTATATTTATCTTCTTGAAATTTAAATTAAACATTAGAAATAAATAAATATCAATTATTACCTAATAATATTATGTCTCTTATAATAATTATGGAAATCATTTATAGAATAATCTCGTTTTTCAAATTATTAAAATAACAAGTCTATAATTTTGAATACTTAATACATATATTGTTATTATTACACCATTATTTTAATAAATTTAATAGAAGAAAAAATGTTGATGAATGTTGTGTTTTTAACAACAAAGAAAAATTTTAATAAAAGGAGTAAAGGTAATCAAGAGGACATTTTACGTCATTCGTCGGTCCCACACTTGTTTGTGACATTTACAATATTGAAAGACCTCAAGTCCTTGGCTGATGCAAGAAACCACGACGTTTCGTGAGAAGCCACTAATGAGGATCATATTTTTAAGTTGACCTGTATAACTTACAATTTGATCTGTACTAATTTACCAAGAATATAGACTGATATCTAGAATATTTTGTTAGAATATTTTTTCTAAATATTCTGTTAATTATCATTATATTATTAAAAATTACTTTAATGATAAAAAAAAAGGTACTTTTAAAGCCTACATATATATGTATGTACATATAATTACTGTATAATGCAAATTTTTGAAATTTACCTAATGAAAGAAAATCACAACATGCAATGAAAGAAAGCTGAACCATATATACATACATGTATATTTTTGAACAATATAAATATATAGTCTTTATTAGGGCAATTTTATACAAAATTTATTTAATAATATTAAAAAATTCCAGCTTTATAACATAAATTTTTTCTATAAAGTGTTAAATACGAAAATTTATATTTTATCTTTTATTTGTTAGAAAATGCATATTTTTGGCAATTCAGTTTTTCCACAAATACAAACGATTGATAAAAAATCTTATCTTAATCGATGACCTTGCGAAATATGTTTGACGTTAGTGTGATTTTTTTTATGAATGTGAAGAACGTGATACTGCTTACAATGGAATCTTTTATTTTCTCTATGTGAATTATATGTTTTATTAATTGTATACATATGTAAAATATAACAAAGGATATACTCATACAGTAAACACATACGTATGTAGGTTAACAAAAGTAAACCATAAAAAATATCAAAGTATATAAATTTTATTCATTTATTAAAATTTTAATAAAGTTTTTTGTTGATTTAAAATTAATTTTTTATGTATACTTATATGTTATATTTTCAGAACTTTTTCAAAGATATGTCGAAGATATAGCACAAACCTTTCAAAAAGCATTAATAATTTTAAATTTAAGCACAATTTCTGTAAATATTAATTAATGAGGATAACGTGATATACATGCAATCAAACGCAATCAAGTTTTTTATATGATGCACGATGGAAACTTTTCACTTGGATATAAGCGGTGATGAATATGTTAGTCTACATTCCAATTCTCACAATCAATGTAATATATATTTTATACTTTAAGCACGTTATAAATTAAAATATAAAAAATATTAAAATATATAACAAAAAAAAATAAATTAAAATAAATATATCCATATACTTTAGACTAGAAGTTGAATCGATTAAACTTATTGCTATGAAATATTTATAAACGACATTTAAGTCAAATTTAGTCAACAAATATTAAATTTTATTATTTCATTTATTTAAATTCGAATTTAAACAGTCATTAATGGTTAAATTTTATTTAACAATTATGAATTTAAAAATGACGAATTGTCAAAGTATTTAATTATAATTAATATTACTTTTATTAGTCTATATTACTTTTATAAATATTGTCATTTGATATACATTATCACCGTTTTAATTAAACACAACAAGCACTGCATCATTTATATATATTATTATTTTCATCACATTATACCAATTTATTAAAAGAAAGATAAAGATCAATTTTATTAAATACTTAAATATTAAACAAAATTTAAGTGAAAATTTTTGATTGTAAAAATTGTATAAAAATTCCAATGTTGATTAGAAGTGATTGCTGTATATTGTAATCGTATATTTTTAGTTATCTAAGGATACAGGAAAAACGGTGTTAGGTAAGTTAAATATTATATGTATTTACAATAATTTTATGAAAGTATATAAGTTGTTTAATTAATTTTTGTTTTGTAGAAAAATTTTTAAAAGTTATTTTTATACATAATATTAGAGTCTTAGTTCGTCTAGTACAACGCTTAACTGGACGAGTTATATATACATATGTACAAACACATATATTTATAATTGCGTATATATATATAACTAATTGAACATAATGAAACAGCATAATTTTATCATCTTTGCATAGCCATTATGTACATAATTGTTTTTACATTTTTAAATAAATATTCTTTCTCGGTCAACGTGCTTATGCATCACAGATCACAGACACACTTAGGTATGTAATTATACGGTAACTACGGTAGCACGGCCATTGATCACCCATAGTTTGGCCAGTTAATAGACATGAGAAAAAGGTGTTATGGATGGAGATAGAATTATAGCAATATGTATGAAAAGAAGATGGTCACTCATGTCGTCATGGATTAAACGACAATAGTTGATTGAGACGCAACAAGAGGTAGGCTCATTAACCTCTTGCGCTAGAAAGACATGTTACATATGTTATTCGCCTTGATATGTACATTAATCATTTGTTTCAAAAAATAAGAAAAAGTGCATAGCATGTCCATTGATATTGTTGTTTGAAAGTACTACATCACATAATGGACGAGCGATATTTTACACACATCTTCTTCAAAATTTTGACAAAATATTGCGAAATTAATTTTGCAAAGTATACATTTATTCCTAAATATCAAATATGTGAAAGAATGTCTGTAAATGATACACCATTAGATCTGTAAACAAGACAATTTTTTTAGAAGTATTTCATTCATAAAAGTTAGAAAAAACTTCAATGAGAATGTACAGTGCACGTGAAAAATAAAAAATATAACTGAATTATCTGGAAATGTAAAACATGTTGCATTGCATTGCATATTTCACATTGTTTTGAAGTTTATTATTCTATATAGAATTATTAATAAAGAGATTGAATAGAATAATTGCAGATCTTTAGGCTTATCTAAATAGTGTGATTATATGTATTCATTGCTCATGTGTCTAAAATTTGTTTCAAATTACTTTGGTTATTTTGGTTAGTGAATTAATTTCCAGCGCAAGTAGTTAATATTTTCAAGATTCATTCATCTCAGGTTGCTCATATACAATCTTGAATCCTCGATATTCCAATGCAACAGGCTAGCAGGGGAATGTATCAATTGAAGCAGTATCATTTGTGTTGAATATCCCTGTGCAAAGAATTTTTTTTTACTAAACATTAGTCTTTTATCAAAAGCAGGGATATAATTAGGGGTATTATTGTTCACACACATGTATTTAAGTATTAAGGTGCAAGTAATGAAAATCGAGCTCAAGTAGATTTAAGACAATAGATTCGGCAATATCAAAAGGGTTTGCAAATTATTGGACTCAGTAATCTGGTATTACTGTATTAGGCTATTATAAAGGGAAAGCTTGATAAATGAGGCAAATTTATCAAGTACAATTTGTAACCTGTATATCATGCTGTATATCTGGTTAGTTTTATCAAGAAATTTAACATGACTATAACTTGAATGAATTGGCTTAAGCAACAAACTATAATGCTTTAGAAGATTACATGTCAGATAGAGAATATGAATATTATGCACAGCTACATCCCAAGGAGAATCTGGACTGGCAAATAGTCTATAGACAGCTTGTTGTTGTATAGAATCACCTCACTGCACTGTAAGTAATGCCCTTGACATGGATTATTGAACAAGCTGGATCTTTTAATGTGACTAGTTTAATCACAATTGCAGATATTATCATAAAGATGCACTACTTTAATATACAATATTGTCACAAATGAATGGTTATAATCATTCTGAGAGGAGTACCTGAAGGTCAATTTCAAACTGTTATAAAATTCTTTATGGAAGTTTGTAGAAACATCTATGCTTCTATAAATCAACTTGATGTAATCTTATGATCTTATGTTGACTTTTAAACATTTGTTTATACACACATTAAAAGAAATTTTATTTAAGATATAACATTTACTGATTATTACATATACTGAGGATAGAAGACTGCAATGTGCAACCAATTAGAGAATACATTAAAAGCTCTTTCCACAGATATATGGAATCACTTACTGAGGATGATATTATATATAGAAGAATTGATTGATTTATATGCTGCACAGAACACTGTTTAGTACATCAGGTAGTAAAATAAGGAGTTAGCTGTTGAGCCAGCAGCCAAAACACTGAATGAAAATTTAGTATGTGATCTTTAAGCAGAGGGATAAGATAGATGCTGCTGAGCATAAACATGCGTAATAAATTATTACTTGCACAAGATTAGGGTTCTAGAGCTAGAAATTTACCAAAAGGGGTGCTAGGCTCATGAGGATGTGGAATCAATGATGCACTTCTTTCAGTGATCTCTGACACCTAGGGCCATAGCTTTTAACACTATTATGACTGCTATTCAACATAACAGTGTTTAAGTGCCACTTAAGCCGATGCCGAATACTTGTACCGAATACTTGATTCACGGACGGCAAAAAAGCCTCATTTCATTGTAATCGCTCCTCGTGCCGTTAAGTCTTTTTTTTTTTTTTTTAAGTACGTTTTTTGTTAATTTATTTTACACAATCACAACGCGACACACATTAAAAAAAGCTAGAGGGAGCGTATTCTTATTCGCGTAATTTTACACATTTCGAAGTATTCCTCGCTGATTACTTTTGATTATCCATATAACTTTAGTTTTTTCGTTGGAATGATACTTAATTCTGCGATAGTTAAAGCTCGATTTCATGACTTTAACAAGTGATACTGAGTGTAGCGTCAATGGTACTTCTACTACATCCTTGTTAGAGGATAAGAGTGAAGTGCGTGTGAGTGAATGCGGATATTTTCCGTGTCTTTCTTTCCTTTCTGTTTTTTCTCAAGTCGCGAGTCTGGTTGTCCAAATATACATTTGGTGACTAGGCCAGTACGAGGTTTAACTATTATCCTTTTCACTTCACTTTCTCTCTCTGATATTCCTCTCAAAGCTTTGCCTGGGCCTTGTGGACAGTTGCTAACCAGGTCCAGGTAGGCCTCTCCATTTTCTACTTTATGGCCGTTTTCCACCGTTTCGGCTTTCTCTCGCGAGTCTGTTTCTTCTTTTGCAAGTTTACAGTTTTTTTTCTCTCTTTGCTGTCTCTCTCCTTTCGCCTTTCTAATAGCCATAAGGGCTTATATTAGCGACGGTCGGTGGGCCAAAAGTTAGTTGGTTTTTAGCCAGTCTGTCAGTTAGATGGTTAATAGTTTCTAGCCAGGTGGTTAGTCAGCCAGTTAGTTGGTTTCAATCACTTAGTGTGTCAATTGAGCCCTTGCTGATTAATGGAAGGACTTGCATCCAGTCTTAACGTTGATTGTTTATCAAACTTATTTTTTAATAATATATTCTCCCCTCACTGAGTCACCGTTTTCATATCGTTTAAACTGTTAATTGCGGAGCAATTATTTGTTGAGTCGACTGTGTTATTCGTGGTGCTATAACTGGAAGTAAGCTTACTCTTAAAGGTGTAGATGTCATTTGCGTGATGGAAGCTTGAGCACCGGTGACGCCAACGGAAGATCTATCTCTAGTATGTCGTTTAACGTGTTTCGCCAAATGATCACTTCTCATAAATCTTCTCTCACAGACAGTACAGGCAAATTTTTTTTCGCCAGTATGCGTTCGTTTATGTCGTGAAAGTTCATCGCTCCTTGAAAATCGTCTGCTACACTCTTCATAGGGGCAAGAAAAAGGTCGTTCTCCCGTATGGGTTCGCGTATGGGCTTTTAAATGGGACGACTTAAAATAATTTTTACCACAACCTGGATGCTCACATTCATAAACACGACGTCGTGTAACTAATAAAAGAGGAGCTCGTGGAAGAACCAATGGAGATCCTAACAGCCCGGTTACCATAATCGGAGCAGGTTTCGGTGCTAGAGGATGTAACTTCGGTTGAGCGGTCTCACGATCCGTATTTTTATTATTTACAATAATTTCTTCTTTCCGTAGGCTCATTTTGAATTTGAGGCTCTTCAATATGTTCTCCGGTTCCGCTGTACTCTGTCGCGTGATTGGTTCAGATTGTAAACTGGAGATCCGTTGTGGATCATGTGAAATCGCTTGTGAGCACATTGTGGTAGTCTTTGGTATCAAGTTGGCAGGACTGTAGGTACCATCTCGATTGGCACGCATTATCACCGATACACGGGTTGGTTCTGGACTTGGCGGTGGTGTACCGTCTAAGAGCAACTGTTTGAAATAAGTACAGATTTGTTAAACCATTGTTTTCTTTACATCTACATAAAAGAGATTAAACAAGCCAAGGGGAATTTAATTTAAATAAATAATATATTTTGTATTATTGTCGTTCATATAATATATACATTATATGTACATTATTAAAAGGTGAAGAAATGAAAGTTTTATAATCATTCATTAAAGAACCATCTATTTTATATAACAATGAAGTTATGTTGCTTTGCAACAACTATCATCAGAAGGTATAAACCATTTGCTGGAAGGATAAGCAACAAAAATGTTGTAAGAGTGAACGCACGCATTAAACGGGGTCATCTTACAAAACAACTCTATAGACCACGCGCGCATGCGTCTATGTACATTGGAGTGGTCAGTCGATCGCGCGTATAGAAAATATCAAAAAGATATAATTCTAAATTTTAAAATGTGCAAAAGGTAGTTTAACAATAATATAATATTTACCTTTGCTAATTCACACTGCTCTATGCATCGCTTTTTTCGAAGAGGTTCATCTTCTTCCGAATCAGATGGTTGTGGAGTTGGTGGTAAACCAGGCCGCGCAGTTCCGTCGTCGTTTTTCTTTACATTTATATGAGTAGCCTTCGTTTTCTGTAAAAGTTTGTCTCCCAAAAGTGCAGCAACGCTAAATGAAGATTGAAGTGGTTCAATCTATAATAGAAAAAGAAAATCTTTTAAGAATACATTGTAGACTTTAAGTAGTTCAGAACAAATTCAATTATACATGATCGAGTAACTATACATATTTTTTGGAAAAACCTATGATGTAAAAGAGAAAAATAAAGAAAAACGAGTAATGAAGAAAGTAATAAAGTAGAATAGTTAAGGAATAAAAATTAAGAAATATCGCAGTGGAAAGTTGATCAGCAGTGAAATAGGGTTGGGCTACCGTTTCCAGCTGCGTTCATATTTCGCGGGCGGCTAGTGAGTCTACAGTGGCGGTACTTTTAATTCAACGTTCACTTACGTGTTTGAATTGGGGTGAGGCTGGTGGTGAAAGAGGCGTTTGATTAATATCCATTTTTTTAGAAAAAATGTGACACGGGTATATATTACGTTAAAGAGGCTCGTCCGTTGACGAGAAAACGCAGTCTCACGTACACGGTATTTCGAGCGAAAAAAGGCTAAGGGACGTAACCGTTGAACGTCTGGTAAAGCAATGAAGCTTTCTCAGGTCGGTTAGGCCGACACGCTGTGCTGGTTGTGTGTGTGATCATGCGGCGCGCTTCACTTCGACCAATCGTATGGAGGGGCTCGCCGTATTCAACCAATTGGAAGAGCATTATCAGCCAACGACCGCGTGATCAGCAGCGTGCTGTTCACGTGCTCGCGGTCTGCCTGAGACCGTGATCATGACGTCAGTCTGCGTGGCGCGCTCGGTCGATACGTCATGGTATCGCTGCGCTCAAGCGTCATGCAGCTTCAACCCTCCTACACCTCCTTTTCAAGCTATCTAACTCGCTCTCTCTGTCTTTCCTTCTTTTCTCTTCCTACGACTCTTCATCGGTGTAGTCTGGCCGCGACAGAAGAGAGAACGCAATGCTTCGCAAGACACGGCGAGCCCCCGAATTGCCGTTTCGCCACGCTCACTTTTCCCCCTTTGTTCCGTTGTAATGTGAGAGTTTTGTAAGTTCACAGCATAAATATTTTGTTCCTATAAATGCGTGCGTACACGGTGCTTCAATTATTTTACTTTTAATCGTTTTTGCGTGTCCAGATACAATTTTTGTTCCTCTCGAAGATATATACAATTGACACTACAGGTAAATGATTCTAAGGAAAAGGTAAATTGCAGTTCCAGGAATATCGTTCGTCGTTCAATATCCTTGTTACGTCACTATTCCTCAACGTATCTAAAGTCTTCAGCGATACATTTCCAATCACTCCTCTGACATTTATTGGTTTATTGCATCTGGATTTCTCTTGCCGTGAGTCTTTCTTTATTTTTTGAATGAACAACATAGGCATGTGGCGTAATTGGAGAGTGTAGAGCGGGTAACTGAAAAAGTTGAGAAAGCGAGGTCGTCGGGAGGTCGGATTTTAACGAGGAAGCATTCTAGTGCAGTCTGCCGTTAAATATATCGGCCGCCCACTTTGCGACTGGTTAATTTGAATCCAGCTCGGACGGTGCTGGTCTTCAACTCTTCTTTGCCTCTTTCTCTTCCCCCATGAATATACTCTTGTCCATTGTATTTCTCAATAGCGCCCTCTGCGTAGTACAAATTGGTCGGTTGGATGGCAGATCGAATATCTGCATCAGTAGAAATTCGCAGTTGTGTTTATTCGAAGTCGTATCATGTGAAAAAAAGACAAAGTTGGTTTATACAGGGGAAGCAAATACAAAATACAAGGGAATTAACCAAAGAGACGAAAGTGGAATAATTTTATCGTTCGAACAATCTTATATTTATCGATCGTTTCTCAGTTCTTCTTTTTCATGATGTTTCGAATATACAATTTCCTAGAAGGTCGCACGTATGTAGTCGTATATATGTACTTACATACGTATAATCGTTGTCGTTCGTGCATGAAGGGAATCACTTTCTCCGATTTTTAAATAGATAGCTCGTATCCGAAAGGTTTTTTCCGTTTGGTAAATTCAATTCTATGGTTGTGTGGTGATTTTCCACGACGTCCGATTTAGAATTGCGGAAATCTCCGCAAAACGAGACAATGTTCATATTAATGGCCCACATATCGCGGTAGCGTACTAAAACAAAATGGAGTCGCAAGGAGATAACCAATAGTTAACTCACAAACAACAGCCTGACAACTGATGTTTATTGCGCATCATTAATCTATTACATTGTATTTGGTTCCTTTTCTACCTTCGAAATGCATTTGTTGTTCCAATTATTCTTTGGCTTTAAATATCTACGTACTCCTTGGTCCCTGAAGCTTTTTACGATCTTCAAGCTGAAATCCATAGATGAATTTAATAAAAATCAAGAAGATTACGAACCCATGAAATATTTATCCATTGTCACTATTAATATAATTCACATAGTATGACCCACTTAGACGCCATGCAAGTTTAAAGTGCAATTATCAATTTATTTCAATTATGCTATGACCATGTTCGCTTTGACATGATAATACTACCCAATCCTGATAACCACGTTTGCAAGATGAAATTTCAAATTGAAAGAGATACAAACAATTTCGGAACTATGAATCCGCTCTTAAAAGACGATACATAAGTTCCTATTTGCCTTTTTAACTGGTAAACTCGGAACATGAATCCTTTAACAAAAGTGCCTTTAGAGGCTTTTCAATTTACAATGAAATTCGTGGGACTCGACTTATTCTGTGCTCGAAATCAAAGCCGTTGGAAAAAAATTCTACGTCATAATCGACTTTGAAAATGGAGCATCCCGTGGTAACTCGTTACCTAATCATGTTCGGTATAGGGCGACATGTAATTGCGTATTCTTATCAATGAAATGACATCGTAATGATTCACGAAGTATCAGTTAATCCGTTGCATCGGTTAGATGGAGAAATAAACAATATCGCGCGACTAGTTCAAATTTTTATAGTTACCTATTATCTGTTTTCGTCATGCCGGAGCAGGTAACGGCATACAATCGTGAACCGGCGCTCCGCCACGTTCTATGTGACTTTCTACGTATATCCATTGGTTTCTTATCGCTATTTTTTGAGCAAGCTTCTTATCACGCAGCGAGCAATCGTATGGAATATTACTATGTAAATTCTTTTCCCTTGGTGTTCTTACGCCTCTAGTAAATTTGATTTTATCTTCTGATATCTTCAGCGTTCTCTGCGCATTATCGTCTTGGCTGCAATTTATATTGGTAAAACGATTAGAGCATTCGATAGTCTGCTTCATACTTATTTACGCTGCTGCGAATAATCGAAAACGGTTCCCATGAATAATCGGCAAACAGGCGTTATGATTAAAAGTATAACGAGTGTAAATCACTTTAATTGTTTCTTTCGTAATGAAAGTCTTTATCGTAAAATATACCCAGTGTTTCATCATTTCTTTATCGAGAATCCGTATAATGCACCGAACAGTCGGTCGTCGTTTTTAATAATTTCACGTTCTTTAATTAACTTACATCAATTCTCGTGAGCAGCACGCGTCCCGCCGATTTCACGAATGTAGAGGCTACCACCAATGTTCATGATAGACAACAAGGGAATCATTCGATGAACTCGTGATCGATGACATCGTGTGCGCGTCTTCTGTTCACGTTTTATCGCTAGCTTCGTGTTAAGTCTGCAAAAGTATCGCTGACATTGTTTTTAAACCGAGTATCTAGTAAGTGGATGCGAAAGAAGCATTCGCTACGATTAATCGAAAGTTCGTAAAATTGGCCCCCAAGTGAAGAGTGTATCGTATCGAATGAATTTCGTTCAAAACATTCAACACGTATCTCCTCTATCTCACTTTCCCCGTGGAGGGCCTCAAGGCCGAGCGCTTGACCTTCCCCGATCTTCGTATTATAACGTATTGTTTTGCAATCCTAATTAATAATATGATCGAGGTGGCTGAACGTTATTCGCATTTTGAACGTGCACCGAACAAAGGGGAAAAACACGCATAAAAATAGCCTGAGTATTAGTACGTGTCAAGTAGCACGCACGGAGAGAAATAATCAAATACCGAACGATAGTAAAAGTTCGTTAAAAGTGTAAAATGCATATCGGAAATTTGAAAAATCGGAAACTGAGGAACTTGAAAACTTACAAACACGAAAGTTCCAAAATACAAATTTAAAATGAAATTCTCATTGTTATCAGAAAACATCACGGGCGATGGATATATACGTAGGTCTGTATAATGTATCGGACACGGTAAAATCCCACGAACTGACAAATTGTTTTTCTACTTTACCACGGAGCTTAATGGAGGAAAAATTCCAATGTTTCCGTTGAATTTCGATATTTATCTGCATACGAGTTATCAAGGAGCGACGCAGAGTTTCAAACGTACGAGTTTCTTTGTTTGGGCATCTAGAGGTACGACTACTTGGGTTTGTGTCGATACGAAGTCTCGATCGCAGACACGTGCATCCGTCGATTGACTTCGTTTAGGGGCTTGTGACGTCATGGGCGTTTTCGTTACAACAGTACCGTATGGTTAATTATTCAACGATTATTATTTTAGAGAAAGACATTATTGCCTATGACAAATCTTATCCTTGACCTACAAATCGGATTAATTTATAAACTTTTGCAAATATTTCTCTGTAATATCAATAGTATACACTATTTCTTGTAACCAACCTCACTTTTTTAATTTCCTTCGCTCGACATTAACGTTGCGTTGTCTTTTGCTTTATCCGACCTTCGGACAACACTTCTACAGAATTACAAATATCTCATCGTCGATGCATCGTTTGTAATTTGTTGCCATACAGATGCAATTGTTGAAAATTTTGTCGCTTTATTTTTGGCGTCGCCTTCGAATCAACCTTCGTCCGGCTACGCCATCGTACTGTTCGAAATCTTCCGTATACGTACGAGTCGAAGCATAAAACTCTCCGTATTGTGTTCGTGCATATCGCATTGTGATTCTTGCCAGGTTCGGTTTGTGTTACGGTATCCACGGTTCTGAAAGCATGGGGCGTGTCAGTTAAACAGGTCATAGCCCTTCATGGAAAGTAACGCGTAAACGCAACAACTTGTGACCAAAAGTATATTCAATGGAGGACAGTATTTGTGTGTGTCGACAGCGAATGGTGTTTCATATATCGCGAGGTTCGATTGCGGATGCATTTGGTGCATCGTCTGAGTTCAGTCGCGTTGCTTGTCCAAAAATAGCACATATCGGTAATAGTAGTGGGAATAATTGGTCTTTGACTTGTTTACATTCGAAGAAACGGTGCCACGTAAAAATTGGATCGAAATGGGGATACTTCTTACCCACGGCCGAGGAAGCAAATAAATATGGAAGATAAAAATGTTTTATGCGGAAGCTTCAACCTTGGCTCAAATCAGCGTTTAACGAGACAAATTTATTTTACCTGTAAAATAAAAATACATGTGAATATACTGTACATTTTTAATTTTTTATTTATTTAGTATATAGAACGATTTGATCGATATATGTATCTTGAATAAATTAAATAGTTGGTAAAATTACATAAGCTGATTTGAAAAAGCTGTACTGGATATATCAAGTTATAATCGAGAAATCTAAATTTCATTTATTTGTTGCAATTTTTAATTTTACATAAAACACGCAAAATGATACACGATTATGATCGATTGGATAATTAGCATGAAATAAATTTTTGTCGGTATACATGATGTCTTTGATATCTACTGTTGTCAATATAGAAAAGTATCCCAATTCGATTACCAGAAGAAAGCCCAGTGGATTATATCTTGAAACTTCGATATCCTGCCATAGATGTCACTAGAGGACCTGCAAAAATTGTCAACTAATAATTATAATAATTTTTTATTAAAAACTATTTACATTTATGAAGTAGATGATTTATGTCAATACTTAAAAGATAACGAAGTAATAACATTGATCGATTACACCGTTGAAGATTATATTTTATGTATATATATGCAACATATTCGTATATGTTGCATAAATATATGTGATCAAATACATCGCATAATCGTAAAAGTGTTAGAAGTATTACAATTTTTGATTTCCGTTTTACAATATTTCTCACGAGTCTTTTAAAAGTATTTCTGTAGTATGAATTTTAGATAATCGATATCTAGCATATTGGCACATTACCGCCATCTAAGAAAATCGATAATATTCTCGGCCGGTAAATGCATCTTTAAAATTTCCCGCTTTTGAAAGTTGAACTCGAGTAATGGGCGGAGTTTATCCCCTCTCCGAATACCCCACTCCTTCGCGCGTAGTCACGCTGCATTTGCAGGAGTGGGGGTTGTTTGGTATCGCGTTTGTTTAGTTGCTCGCTGACAGCGGCCGTGGTACGAGTAGTCAAGGTGCGTGTACACGTTTTTCGTCGGTACTTGTGCGTGAAAAACGCGAGAACCGACTGCAAACGCGGGTAAGAAACACAAGAGCGGTAAAAACAATTCGAAACCGTCGAACGAGAAAATATCATTTGTCAGCGACGTATATTGTCCGGTGATCGGAAAACGGTTTTTGTGCACCTCGAAGTGTTCGTTGTTTTTTGCTTTTTATCTCTTTGTTCTGGCTTTATCGTCTCATAAACCAACCTGTCTGTTTCGTCTAACGCTAATTTCGTTGCGTGTGCTGTGTCACTTGTTATATGTCGACGACGCTACGACAACCTAGGACGACCGATCTTCGTCTTCTCGCGCGTACCTGCAACAATGTCAAGTATGTCGACGCTGATTTGGTGATGGCAGAACGCAGAGGATGTCACGCCGCAAGCAGAGCAACCCAAAACCATTGAAACGTGAGTCGTAACCAATATGTGATTCCTTCTTTTTTCCATGCCTTTTTGCTGCTTTCTTTCGTTCACCCGCGCGCGTGTGTGCATGTGTGACCGTGTTTGTGTCTGTCGTGTCTCACGTAACGCATGTTAAATCGTGTTTGTCGCGCGCGACGAGGTACCCGGAAAAACGGGTTTCTCGACGGCGTGCTTTTAGCCGGCCGCCACGTTGCTTGACAGGTGATTGGGCGTCTTTTCTTGTCAGACCGTGTTTCCAGTCGCGCTTACGTACCGTGCAAACTGTCTCCACTGATTCGCGTCGGTTATAATTCTCTCGGAGACAACAGCCCTTACCGCCATTTTTATTGCCAGTTTTATCTTTTCGAACGAGTTTGGTATACTATCGCGTGTCCAGCCAATCAGCGTTCGCATCGTGATATCTCGTTGGCGGGAACACACGTAGATCGGTCGGAAGTTATTCGAAAGATGTGAAACGTTATGCAAATATCAAATTACCGTTCTTTTTTGCCATATTAACCGTACGGTACAGTTTAATGTGATACGAATATTTGTCGTTTTTGATCGATCGTAAAGAAGATAGGTTAGTCGGTATCGAAAGAGAATGGTTGTCATTCGACGTGTTCGTTCTTGTCAGCTGACCTTTCGAGCTCTTGCGGGTCACGTGGTTGACCACACATGCAGCGCAGAACCGCGTGCGTATGTCAATGTTATAGAAATCGTTGCATTTCACTTTTTCATGTTAATTAGTGAAAATTATATAATATCCTTACAAATCGCTAGAATTAACATTTTATTCTCACCAAATTATCAACGTGTCGAATTCTTAACGTTAGGTAATACGTTTTAAAAGCGGTAATATAGGTTGTGTAAAATTAAATTTGAGGTTAGAAAGCGTTATTAATTTTAACGATACGAGGGGATGCAAGTGGGCACGCAAATAACACATACTCGTATCGAGTAAAATGGGTAACTATAGGAAACGATAACGAGTTCTCCGTTGGTGAATTTATTTTCGCTGTATATTTTGCGTATTGCGTCTTTATTTAATTACAAGCGGTTGTGTCGTGTCTTCGACAAAATTATCGTTTATATTCGACAAACAAACCTAATTGCGAATATTACACGTTGTAGAACAACAAGGCGTGAACGTTTCATAGCCTCGTCAGTTATTCGTACACGCTATTGTTCTTGCACTGATCGCCAAGATTTCGAAAATTCGTACCGCAAGAGAATCTTTACTATCCATTTCAAATACTATTCCCCTCCTATATCTTCTCACGTCATTTTCAATACGCTTCTTGCAACGTGGTTATCTTTCTCCAAACGTTATTGCATTACACGTATACTATAAGTATAACATGGCTTCGTATACATATATAAAGGCGATACAAAAATGGTTCAGACTTTTACAGTGTACCGGTCTGTAGGATTACAAGAAATAATGGTTGGAAACGACGTCGTGGGGTCATAAATTAAATTATACAGCGGTGATATCGATATAGCCTTTAGTCATATAACACGAAATATACGTGTCTCTGGCATTATACGAGGCTCTGTGGTCGGTGTGTGTATCGACAACGAGAGGCATTTTTCCGACAAAATTATCTACGACATTCGTTTCCTATTTTCCTAACCTAGCTTCCTCCCGAATATCTCTTTCGACAGTTTCTTACGCGACAGTGGCGCCACGACACTCGCTCGCTACTACCCGCAGCCACCAATTAAAGCCGTCGACTTGCAGGACCGACGTCGATCGTATCGAGGCGGGCGCGCAAAACGGGGATCGTGGCTCGCGGGGATCGTGGTTCGCTTGCACGAATTCGTATCGGCGTAACGTTTCTCGATCTCGGCGTAAAACCGATCGAGGCCAGACGAGATCGCGGGTGCCGATTCCGGCGGGATCCTTCGTCCCTCGCCGCCCTTGTGTCGCGGTCGGATCACGTGGCCCCCGCGATCACGAAAGTCGCCGGCTACTTTCACGTGGCCGCGCGACTCGTCGAACCGGGTGTCTCTCCTCTGCCCTCCCCGCACCTTCCTCGTCGTCGTCGTTTCCACGGTTTCACGACGGGTCCGCCGCGTTTATTATCCGGCCGTCGTTTTTCGTCCCCCCCACCCCTCATCACTCCATCTCTTTCGTCCTCTTCTTCTCGTGTGTTTCCGTAGATGTTCGGAAAGGCGAACGGACCGCTTTTTTGTCAGTCGGACGTTAATGTCCCTGTAATTGTTGCGTAGCGCGTCGGGCCACGCGCGTGACTGCTAATTGGGAACACCGGTAATTGAGTTAATAACGAGCAATCGTAAAACGGGGAGCCTCTCGTTTGACTCCGTTGGTCCTGCGTTCATTCTTAATGGTAATAATCGTTTCGGACAGCGGTCTGGTTTGGGTAACGAAATCGCGAGCGTGTCATAATAGAATTTCGTACGAGAGTCAGAGTGTATCAGAGGTTATGACAATTCGAAGGGACAAGAGCGTGAGATAGTATCGATATCGTGATCTGGATACGAAAAGTCTATCGAGAAGAGCAAAATTCCGAGTCTACGAGCGATAAAACAACGGTGGAAGAAAAGTAGCCAAAATGGGGTTCGTATCTATGGTTACAAACGATGTTAGGTTAAACGCGGGTTGTTATTTCTGCTATGGAATAGAAAAGTAATTTTGTAGAATATTTAACACGCGTTACATGCTTGTTATCGCCCTTGTGTTTTTCTCTTGTGTGATTGGGTAAAAATATGTATACTATGGCGTAGTGGTAACATAGACTACGTCGTAAAGGGAAGAGCGAAAACTAACGTCGAACTACCCGATGCGTCTAGTTACGTATAGGGCGATTCGCAAAGAAATTGTAGCGATTTCCTCGTCTCCCGACGGCGGCGCTGTACGTGCCTGAAACTCGCGACGATGCAACGCGATCGTCTTGAAGATTAACCTATCTGTGGCTTATCGCCGCGAAGGACTCTAAAATACGTTCGGGTGGCAGCGCGTCGGTCGTTTGTGCAACGAGTCGGTTCGTCGATTTTGGAAAGGACGCCTGCGATTAAAACTCTTATACGACGAGATACGTTGTTCGCGGAAGAGGCACGGTCCTCGTGAGCGGTATGTGCGATAACCAACGCGATAGATTAAAAATAATTGACGTCACGGCCGATTTTTCTTATCTATCGCAGCGACGTGAGCGCGCATGCGTACGTTCCTCTGTCTCTTTCTCTCCTTCTCGACTCGGCGCGACTCTCCTTGTCACCCATGAAAAATTCGTCGCTCGGAGATTCGGTTTTATCGTCGTGGTATCTAGCTGGTCGCATAGAGAAAATTGTTTTACCTTTTCGGATATCTGCACGTCATCGCCGACTCCTTATTACTGGTTCCTGGTCGCGGTAAGTCTTTCCGTTTCTCCAATGTAGTCACGGGAACGCGTTGGTCGTAAAGGAATGGCGGGATCGTTGACTTCCTCGTAGCTTCGTTGCGTTCGAAGTATACGATGAGATCGGAGGAGTGTTTACCACCGAAAAGTTTACGAATATTCCGTTCGTAACGTGGAAAAATTAGTTGGTAAATCTTATATCGTATACGAATGGGAAATTTGTCCGTTCGATGCGAGGATAATTCGGATAAAGCGGTTCGAATTTCTTTTCAGCGATTCATCCGTATTTCCAAATCTATTTGAACGAATGGAGGCGGGAAAAAAGGAAAGACGAGAAAAGAAGAGAAGCGAAAGGAGGGGAGATAAATGGTGGCGCGGAAAATATTTCAGACATTCGAAACGCGATTACACGATAAACATGGACGCCAACGTCGAGATCATTTCTCACCCCCTCGCGTCCACGGACACTCCGCGACGCGTGAACAAGTGGACGCACTATCATCTCCCTTCCTTTATATCTCGATTATTTTCCTTGTTGAAAACGCATCGTCGCGAGTTATCGAATACTCGGTGTCGAAGGGCCGCGTGGTGGCGCGGAGCAGGAGAAGGCCCGGATCCCGGCTTGTATCGTGCTGGTAATCGACGATGCCAGGGATAAAAGGTGCCCCGTGGAGAGGCAGCAATCACCCCCCGTCGCGCGCAGCCGTCAAATTAATAACCAATGATTTTATAGGATGTTTTATTGAATCGTGTTGCCCGTAAATAATATCTGCTCGCAGCATCGGCTCGTTTCACCCGGACACGGGGGTTAAAACCATTCGGGGGGAGGTTGGTCTCGTTCGTTTTGATTCTCGCGCTATCCCGTTCCCCGTTGTAATCGTTGTCGAAGCGCTAATATCGACCCCTCGGCCGCGCCTATCTGCTCGTACGAGCCCTCCGTGTTTCTTAATCCTCTTTAGCATATTGTTACCACGCGAGATTGTTTTTTCTCGAACACACACTCACCGTACTGTCCACCATGTGTTTCCTCTTCTCCTTTTTTTTTTCTTTTATTGCTTTCCTTCGCCGATTATCGGTTGTTCCCTTCGTGTCGTTATCGTGTCACATGGCGGAGTCGCCTTGCCTTTGTCATGTCGTATTCCGTGTATACATTTAACCCCCTTATAACACGTATTCGCTCTAGCACGGCTAAAGAATCGAGGTCCGTCCTCTCTTCGTATAATACGATGCATATCCCTACAAGACGATATTCGCTGTAATAGAATTAGAGAATCCGAGCACCCCCGGTAGTAAACTTACTAATAACGGGACTAGCATTTCTTCGGTGTTTGGTAGTTCGGATCCGTGGTTGGGTTGAAATCCGGAAAAAAGGGGGTTATCTCTGCTGGGAGCGAAAGCGTAATACAAGCACCTCGAGGATAGGACAGGGCACCTGCTCGCCGCGTTTCGTACGATTTATATAAAGACAGCGTGTTTCGGGGGTAAAGAGAAAAAGGCGAGAATGGTCGAACGCGGAACGGTTAATTACGTTTCTCGGAATCGGTTATAGCCGCGCAGGAAAGGAATTCAATTGGCCGGGTGAAGATTCCCGAAATCTCGTGGTCGAATCTATCGGTACAAAGGGGCACGCTTCCCTCCCGGCCG